CATATATGTATGTATTTTAGATAAACATGGTCACATACACAAATGTATTTATTATAAACATATACACTCGTATTAACTACACTTAGTTTTAGTAACAGAATTTTAGTTCTTAATGTGGGAAGAGGGTAGAGGGCAAGGCGGTAGAAGTAACTATCAGCATTCATCGCAGTATAATAAAGATTCGATAAGTAAGCTGATGACATAATGTATTGGTTGTTTTGGCAACTTAAATTTCATTACTTAATGTAACAAGTTGTCGAACATCAATTTTCGTTCCTGAAACTGTACGAGTAATTAGCATAAATACAAATGAAATTTTAAATATAATTCATTATTAATTATAAAAAAATTAGGCCTTATAATTAACACTTATTGAGGACATCCTATCAACATATCCTCATAAACCCACCTTCAATTCTCAAACCTCTACCCTCTGTATATAGCCGTAATTCGTGGTTCTATATTTATAACCTTAATTTAATTTATCCCAACTTTTAAATAATTTGTAAGCTTCATGTGAGTTTCCAGTTTTAGCTTCGCTGACGATAGTTTCTACATTTGGTTCATTCTAAAGGGGCTCATTATGTATATAATGTTAAAAGATTTATATTATGTATAATGGTCACTACAAAGTTGCGGAACAAGCGCTGTGGAAGTTTTATAACAGTAGAGCGCTACATATTCGCATTTGATACACGTCCATTAATTTTTATTATTACTAGTACACAAAAGTAAAATTAGATGTAAGTAAAGAGGATAAATTTATTTTTTATACATCAACACACAACAATGACACTACGATCTACAACGTTCAATAGACGAAAACATCTAAAACAGACATGTTTAAGGACACAGAAACGATCATATTTACGTACTTTATTATTGATTTTCTTTATATTTTCAAATTTGCATTTTCTTTGTATTATACAAATATCAATAGTGATCAACTTGCTTTCTTGCTTTATTACTCAGTAAAAGATTTGCAATCCGTAAAAGATAAATAGTCTACGCCATTAGTAGTAGTAGTATTATACTAGCATAAGTCAAAACCGAGTATATAAAATAATTGATGAAATTCGAGTATATCTATCTTAAATCTTGCTAAAATTACTTAATTTTAAAACCGAATAGGAATTGGGTTCAGAGCCCTGTGATTATTCGTAGGTTTATTCATATTACAAAAATAGTAAAAAAAATCGTTTGGGTGTATTAGGTCAAAAGAGTAAAATGATAAATTGACAAAAAAGCAGAATGTCAGAAGCTCACTACGTCAAGAACGCACATTGTCAAAAGTGCAAAATACTATAAAAAAAATTATTTCATTTTCTATAAGCTAGTCGAATTAGGTCAACTGCTACAGCGCAAGCAGTTCGGCTGCACTTACCGGATGAATACTAGACATTTTGCGAACTGAACATTCTTCTTTTACATTTTATACTTTTGACCTTATGCTCCGAAACTTAAAAAATCGCCTGTCGTTAATTAAAAATAATACTTGAGAATTTCTTTTTTTATAAAAGAAAACTACAAAGTGAACATAATACGAGCGGACGATAGCGTGTAAACTTAAGTAACATTTGGTATTCTTTACTAAATTATTGTTTTTCTCATTAACCATAAATTAAGAACTTTCATCTAAGTTACATCGGAAAGTAAGTTTGAAACCGAACTAACAACGAACACGACGCTAAGCATTTTTATTTCTATTTTGAGTAGTTATTCAATTCGAGAGATGGCATTGATGTAGCGATAGCCTAGGGTTGACGTCACGTTACCGTCTCATAACAAACATTATAAGCACGTTTTAAGTTCCTAGGATTATTATATAAACTTACACGCTCAATTGGATTTCACTAGCAGCAATTTTTTTTATTCTTTTCATCTAGGGTTAAACTAAGAACCCTGCCAAACCGGATGCCCCTTTTTTATAAAAGTTATTAATAATATTGTTAGAAAAAATCTAAAGTTGTATATGAATATATGTTTGGATACTCTTTACATGTTTATTGATTTTAGTAATAACGAAAACAAATATTTTAATGTTTTTAAACTGTCAATTGATTTTTATAGTTATACAAGAAAACTTTTTAAGTACTTCTAAAACACTGAATAAAAAAAATAAGGGTGTCGGTTTATTTTGCCACTATCCATTATAACTTATTCAAATTCAAATTATATAGTTACTTGGATATAACCCCTTCTTATAAACGGATGCATATTTTTCTTAATATCAATTATAGTTAAACCGCCGTAAGCGTGGCCCTCCTGATGGTTTGCGGGACGCGGGGCGGGTGATGCGCTCGGCTATACATGACACGATGTACTAACTCGATATCTTCAGATTTATTTGTTTGAGATTTAATCTACACACGATGTAATAAAAATCGAATTTATTTCCATGTATTATAATGTCAGTGTATTGTAAGTTTTTATGATTAATTGTAAAAATTAATACTGTAAAATAATTTTAATAAAATCACCTTATCTTCATCATGTAAATTATATTCAGATACAATTTAAAAATTAAGTAAAATAATAAATATTCTTTATTAGAACTTTAACAGTAGAACCTCTGTAAGCCGAACTTTTAAATCTTTTTGTGACGCAGAGTCCGCAGATTATCCATGTTGCAAAATAATACCGTGTGTAGCAGTCTTAAGAAAAATAACACGTACAGCAATGCTTTCACGTCAGTCACTGCCGGCGGACAGCGACGCACTAGCTAATTGGTTGAATGCACCACCGCCCCGCGTCCCTCAAACCATCAGGAGGGCTAAGCTTACGGCGGTTTAACTATAGATATGGCGCATGAGTCAAATGAACAATCAATATAATTACATACATAATGTTTTAAGTGTTACCATACAATAAACAATATGTTATGTCAAAGCTATTGATTTACGAGACACTGCACAATGAACGTGCGTCACTTTTGTACGCCATTTTCAATTAGGCTTAAAACGCACTTGCGGTTAGCCGCACTGCCGTGTACCGTCGCGGTCCGCCGCAGCGTATACGGTTAGCCGCAACTGCGCGCCGCATTCCGGCGTCTTATTGGTCAGAAATGTTGGACGTGTTACAGACATATATACTGGAACATTTTTTGACATGTAATTAACTTTTCCGTGTCAAAATCCATGACAAACATGCAACAGCTAATTAAAATTCAGAAAGCCATTATCACCTACGTCGTCTAGCGATAAATTGGGGCGGGACGCGGCTCCTGCAATTGACCGAACCGAGTGCGTTTGAATGATGTAGACGGCTGGCCGCACGCCAGTGCGTTGACATTATGTGTTTTCATATAAAAATCGAAGCGCATTTTAAGCCTTACTCTTGTGTGAGTACTTACCTAATTCTGAATGTGGGCGTTCAAGTACTATGTAAGAAGAGAAGAAAGAGGGCACTTGAACTTCCACATACAGTAAAATAAATGTTTAAACTCTTGTTATGTCTTAATTATATAGCAAATGCCTACCATTCGAATATAAATCATTTTAATTAAAAGAAATGATACTTAAGCTTAAAGGAACTATAAACATAAGTTTAAAATATCTAATAACGTCATAAGTTGACCACGACGTAAGTTTTAGAACCGAGTTTCGAGGGCAACAAGTGAACACATTGAAGTTAAAAAGTAACTGAAACCGATTTAAATATTTCAGGAAGCTACAGTAAATGTGAGATAATATTTTTTCTATATCTCTCTCTCTCTTACATTCAAATATAGACAGTCGAGACGGCGACAACAAACTAAACTAATTATGATTAAGGTGTACACATTTATCTATACTCTACAACTAATTACCAATTGTGACAACATAATTTCAAAATAATACATTACTTGTATAGTCAGCAACCAAAGTCGGTAAATCCTTATAATTTTTAAACCATTCTTGCACTAAAACCTCGGTATCAAATGTTAGATAGACAAGTAAAAAAATTACGAAGACAAATTTATTGGTTTATACTAGTATTAGAGAAGGGAGTCTTCTGTGAATCTGTATGTAGTTAGTGATATTTGTTGCTGACTGTATTGCAACAAATCATCGGTAATATCCGTTATGTAAAATCTGGAGCATTTACTATTTACTGAATTATATAAATCCAGAATGACTAAAATATAGTTATACTAACAACATTGGTAACAGACACATAGAATTTAGTTTCATAAAATATAAATATATAAGCAACAATACAATTTTCTATAAATTTTAACGCTACAAGATTGCTTTATCATCCCTTGGAATCTTCATAAAAATTACGCTTTTGAGAAACCAATAACTACATATCCATTACGACAGATAGAAATTACGTTCCTACTGTCGACACATCTTTTAACCACTATCAAACAAACCACATAAATATCAAGTTCAACACGAGTTAACAACTTAAGTTAAGTAACAGCAACTTTTTTTCTCTCTTTTATATCCTGCATATTTACGTTCTGAAATATAAACGAACATGATGTTAAGCATTGCTTTTATTCTATTTTGAGTAGTTATTCAATTCATTGATGTTGGGACGTCTCGTTCCCGTCCCGTTGAGTTTCAGGTTCAACATCTTATAAATATAATGAGAATTAATTTCTAGCCAATTGAATTTTATTTCATCCTATTACACATATACAGCTCTGAACTGATGTATGTGATGGATATCTTAATGTGAAAGTGGCGCTCCATTGCAAACTATGCCAACCACATTTGCTTTCTTGTCCACTGTGCCCCACCGGGTGCACTGTAGAGCTATGTAGAGCAACGGACAATGCCTTGGCTGTAGCGGAATTTTAGCGATAGGGATTTAGGAGTGTTCACCCTTTGACACGACGAAAAAAGAATATCATAATAATATACTAAAGTAGTAAGTCTGCGTTGATTACTCGGCCTCTAAACAACGAATATTACCGACTTGTTGCATAAATTATTATAATTAACTAAAAAAAAGCTAATGCCAACAATAATTACAAAAAAAAAACTTCGCTCCTTTCTTAATAAAACAAATCAGTTCCAGTTAAACCATGACCTGCCATCTCCTGTAGGAGTGCTGCTAGTACTCTTCGGTGTTTTCGGTGATTTCGGCGTTTTTGGAGTTTGAGGCTTAGATGAATTTGAATCGTTGTCTTCGATTGTCACAACGTTTTCTATCGTTGACTGTAACTATGAAAGAAAGAAACAATACTTTTAGTGGCGCCCAACAACAACGACGGCAGACTGCCCAGCACTTAAAGGGACTCCAAAAGACCGGAAACTATTCGGTATTCTCGAAATACATACTAGTAAAACTTATCTTCAAGAAATAATAACGTTTTTATTTTGGAGAAAAATAGTATCCATAAAGTGTAAGTAAGTCTTGTATTACATTAAATTATTAATAAATAGATTTCTGAAAAGTTTACCTTGATGTTAGTTTTTGCTTGCATCTCTCGTTCATAATCCCTGACATCTTCTATACTCATGTTGTACCACTCGTCCATCCACGCAAAAGCTTGACGATGGCCAAGAAGTAGTATTTCGCGTATCGCCTAAAATAGAATAGTATTAATCAACATGGGCGTACCCACAGTGGGGCAAGGTGGGGCGCTTGCCCCACTCTCCACCCTGCCTTACACCCTTGTTTTACCTGACGCAAAATTTTAAACATTTCATGAAGGTTTTAATGCAATACCGAAATTTTGTTGAGTGAGTTTTGCTGAGTGGCGGCAGACCAAGAGCCACCTCAAGTGCAGCTGTTTGCGATGTGCGCATAGTCGGAATTGCTGCAGTTTTTCATGACGGCGCTGACCTCTGTTCTCTGCCACTAGGCAATAACACCGTACGTTCAACTATCCTAAATGGCTGATTTCATTTGATCGCACATCAAGGGGACTGATATGGATAGTCAGGTCGTCTGCATAGCCTACTGTGAGGAATCTACGGTCGTTGAAATGTTTCATAGAAGGGGCTGGCTCGAGGGGTTTCCACACATAAAAAAAGGACAAATGTACTAGCATTTGCTAAGACTAAAACAAAGAAATAATAATTTACGTTTTACTAAGTGAAAAAAACGAGATGTACACAGCTCTTTTTAATATACTAGCGAACCGCGCAACTTCGTCTGCGTCTCTCAATAGTAATAAATTTTCTCCGTTTTTGAAACATTCTTCATTGGTGCTCCGCTCCTATTGGTCTTAGCGTGATGATATATAGCCTATAGCCTTCCTCGATAAATGGGCTATCTAACACTGAAAGAATTTTTCAAATCGGACCAGTAGTTCCTGAGATTAGCGCGTTCAAACAAACAAACAAACAAACAAACAAACTCTTCAGCTTTATAATATTAGTATAGATTAAAAGCTCAGTTTCCAACCTGGGAACCATATCACTGTGCTTTGGAACTTGCAGCTTTTGTTTCTATTTACATTTTAATATATTAAAAGCTCAGTTTCCAACCTGGGAACCATATCACTGTGCTTTGGAACTTGCAGCTTTTGTTTCTATTTACAAAATTTTATAAAGTATTACCCAACATTAAGCAAGAAAAAAAAAGCGCGGGAAACCTTCGAACTTGACGTGGTTTTTTCAATTTTTTCAAATAATATGGTAGATTTATTGTAATTAGTAATCAGAATAGTTCTAAGTTGTGAATAAATTTAGATTAGTGTTATTCCTATATTTATTATTTGTCTTTTCTGCGTAGGGTAAGTCTTCTAATACTTTTATGAACGAGCCGCCAGACCCAGGGGGCATAGTGCCCCCTGCGGGAGCATTTGTTATAGTTTCCAACGAATCTGGCATGGATTCCGACTGTTCGTCGGTATCCAAGCGTAAATTAAAACGGAGTTATCCCCATAGGGTATGCAAGCAATGTAATAAGAGGAAAAAAAAACATAATAATGATGCATTAAAAAATACTGATTGTCATTGTAATGATGAATTTATAGAGTCCCCCATGAATAATTTACCTTCTTCTACTCTCGCTAACGTTAATAATTCTCCTTCCCAAGCTCCCACACAAATGGGCAGGACTAGTTATGATTGCAATGATCATGGCCCTTACATTGTGCATATTCATAAAATACAGTCTGCGGAAGACGATGGCACCAATCTGCATCCTGTTGTGTTCGGTAGGTTTAAAAACAAAAATGCTTTTAAAAATATTGTAAATGGCAGTTTGAAAAGGATATCAAGAAATAAAATGTCTCTTTCTTTTAATAATTATTTAGATGCCAACAACTTTGTCCAGTCAAATTGTTTATCTGAAAATAGGTTGAAAGCATATATTTCCAGAATGGGATTAGTAAGGGGAGTTCCAACTGAGTGGTCTCCCGAAGATATAAAGGAAAATACTAGTGTGCCCATGGGATGTGGTGATATAATTAAAGTCAGACGTTTAAATTATAAGGTAATTGTAAATGGTGAACCAACTTGGAAAAACTCCCAAACAGTTGTATTGACATTTGATGGCCAAGTATTACCTAAACGTGTTTTTATGTGTTTAAATTCTTTGCCTGTACTACTATATACTTACCCTACTATACAGTGTCAGTGGCCACACAAAAACAAAATGCAGGTCTAAACCAAGATGCTATAAATGTGGGCCAGGTCACACTGGTGACAGCTGTAATGTTAAGGAAGATCAGGGCTCTTGCTGCTTATGATTTGGGCTACATTTTGCGTCAAGCAAAGGGTGCCCAGAATATTCTAGGCAACAAGAAATTAAAATTACCATGGCTGATAATAGCATATCGTACATGGAAGCATCAAAACTACACCCATTAATAACTAAATCATATGCTGATGTGTTAACAGCCATACCAAATAAAACTTTTCAGGCAGGCAATACTATTGTACAGGGCTCACCCCCATCACGCATATTATCATACAAAAAAAAACAGTTTTTACTAAACCACGAACCCCACCTAAGCCTAATAAAGGCTATGACCGTGAAGCTCATGATTCTCTTGTAAAGGATTACAACATCCCCACATCCTCTAATGGTTGTGCATTACAAACCTCATCCAATGCTGACAAACTAAGTGAACAGAACTTAACAGACTTTATTACAACTTTAATTAAATTGTTATCTCAATCAAATTTAACCATACCGACCAACGCTGCTACTTTATTCAACCCTAACATTCATAATAATAATCATAATGGACAGGATAGTTCAATAGAACTGTAGAAGTATCATAGGTAAGCAAAAAACATGAACTTGTACATATTGTAAATACTTTAACCCTCTAATTCTTTCTTTATCTGAAACCTGGCTTAAACCGAATTATACATTTAAAATCCCTGGCTATTCCTATTTAAGGTATGGCGGTGTGTGCCTACTTGTCAGAAACTCTCATCTTATATCTCCTCTTCCTCTTCCTTCACACAATGATGATTTTTCTATCATTGCTGCTATTGTTGATAATATTTGTTAATATCTCTCTCTATTCCTCTTCCTTCTAATATTTACTTACTTCGAGATAATAGATCCTGTATATATAGTACATTAAATAAATTTATTGTAAATAATAAGATTAGATTGTAGTTTCATATTACTTGTTTTCTTTTGTTATATATAGTTAATTATTCTGATTTGTTTTTGTTTAATACCCGGTACGGTTTTAATCTATACGTTTCATTCGCTTTGTTGACAAAATGTAAAATACTTGACACTGGCCCAATGCACGAATGGTGCCGAGCCATAAAAAAATAATAATAATATTAAAGTCCAGAAAGAAGAAGAAGTTCCTTGCAATGTTTTTGGCTGTACTGTATTGATATTGTTACAGGTCTCAGTGTCTGTGAAGAAGCGAACCGATCCAAAAACTTGTCGGAGTCTTGGCGTAGCCAAATTAAATTTAAAAAAATGCACAACTAATATAATAATATTTTCGGAAATCCGCAGGTAATTACTGAACTAAGGTTAGCAGTAAATAGTATATTAAATCCCAATAATTTGTGTAGTTTTCTTTATTCTGCCCGCCCGTAAATAAATGCTGAGTACGCCCATGTGAATCAACCTCATCGAGGCCGACATATATTTCGTTGTCAATGCATTTCCATTGTACCTATCTTATAAAAAGGTTTTAAATCTTACTTTTTCAAATTTGTTTTCTTTATGTATGTTTACAATTTATTGTAAATAACACACACATTAGAAACATTTCACTATTGCAAGACTGCAATGAGACCCTTGGTGTTGAAGACACTAAGTAGACTGTGCAATGTTTAATAGGACTAAATAAGTCAAAACTGTGTTGTTGTCACCTCATAGCATACAGCATACAAAGACAATTATTTAAAATTGTTGGTGATCCTAAGGTCCCATGCGTATGTTGTTTGTGACCTTAGTTGAACGAAAACTGGTAACTTTTATGACCCACATTTATCTATTCGACCAATCAGTTACCTAATCTGTTTACATTAACATTAAAAAAGAAATACATACTCCCTGAACATATTCTTCAACCTTTGTCTGAAATCCCCACACTTCAAACTTGACGCTCACTGCCTTGTAACAGCACATAATAGGCTGGTGAGTCTCCCTCCAACCTTCTACCAACGGTCCACGATTTGTCTTCTGTGATTTGAAAAATTTTGGGTCTTCTGCTTCTTTGTAATGATGAGGTTTAATCTCATCATAAGCTATGTCCAAGAAGTCAACTTCTCTTTGTTCCAGCTCTTCCTGCGTTAATCCCAAACACTAAAAGAGATACCAGGGTTTTTAAAACTAACAGTCAGAAACTAATCGATTTAAGACATCGTCGTATTTTTCTGACTGTAAGTCACTAGAACTTCATAAAAAGATTTGCCAAATTTGTGAACTGTTAGTGAAAACACAATACGTAACGCTAGTTAGATATAATTCCGTTAAAAGCAAGCCAAGCCCATTTCACACTGTCGTCAAACTTGAAGGTGTCGACAGGTCGGACTAAAGCCTAGTGGCATCACACTTTAGTTTCTACTTACTCCCGCGTCATATCATATTCGATGAATATTATTTATTTATTATAATTCTTTATGCACAAAGAAGAATTGTACAATGGCGAATTTAATACGACAGGCAGAAAATCAAAAGGTAAAAACACGCATTTTGTACCTTTTGGTATTCTTAACGCTTTACTCTTATATTATTAGTTATGATTATTATTATTATCTTCTAGATATAATAGTTAATCAACAACTTTTTAAGAGTCAACTCTTAAAAAAATACATAAGGCGCAGGTCCGGCCGCATATGGAATACTGTTCTCATCTCTATGCAGTACTAGCTTCTCTGTCTGGACCGCATCCAACGAAGAGCAACTCGAATCGTCGAAAGCCCAAAGATCTCCGATCGGCTCGATCCCTTGGCGTTACGTAGAGATGTGGCTTCACTCTGCATTCTCTATCGTATATATCATGGAGAGTGCTATATACTCGTATCATGGAAATAAGTTTACAAGAATGTGTTTATGAGTGAATTAGTATATTTTTTACTTTTTTCTCTTTATTTAATGAGCTATGTCATTATTATGTTACTTGCAATGATGATGCAGTTAAAAACCTTATTCCTAATAAATATTCTATTTGTTTATTAAATTCGTTATATTTTACACCTTTCCACCATCTAGAAAAAACTACCTACTGTTGTCCAAATATAGTAAGTGGGTTAAAGGTAACAATAATAAATAGTTAATAGATTACGGTACACTAAGTTATTTACTCACATTGTCTGTGGTCCCATTATTATCTTCATATCTTGTCTGAATAGATATAGAAAACTTTGGAATAAATGAACACTGGAAATCAAAAAAAATTTTTTGAAATAATTAGTTAATTAAGCATTTAAAATGTAACTATCAAATTATTATGTAATCAAAAATGTGTTACTTACTGTATACTCTATGTAGATTCAACATGAAAAAGGAAAAAAGATATTAAGTAATGTAGAAATAGGAAATATGCTTTAGAAAAAAAACAAATGGAACTTTACCTGTAATGGTATAAGGATAATAATTCCATGCTTTTTCAGTGATATAAAATATTTTTGGTATCAAAGACTGGACCCAATAGGGCAGATGGCTGTAAACACACAAGGAAAATTATTAACTAACCATGCATTAGTACAGTTCATATTGTATTATGTATTACTGTGCTACTGAAATATGTATTCTAACTACTATTATATTGTGTCTTTTCCTTTTTTTAACATTTTAAACACATAATAGTCATTATTAAAAATAAGTAAATACACATTCCATATATACTAAGTTGAAGAGGAAATATACAGACAAATATACTTTACTTGCTTTTGCCTGTAGCTCTGCCCATGTATATGTCAGTTATCATGGTAAAAAGTAGCCTTTTTTTTTCTTTTTTTTTTTTCCCGTGCGGAAATCCCCTCGGATACCACCTGTCGGTGGCATGTCGGACTCGAACCGACTAAAACCGCACGCCGTCTCGGGTACTAATAGCCGGGGAACCAGGTATACCCTAGAAAGGAAGTCCCTGGTGCCCCGACATACCGCGGGTCATCTACAGACGAGTAGACGACCCCCCCCGTGTGGGAACCCCATGTTCCCTGTGCTCCCTGAAAGCAAGCGCGCTTCGCAACGCGCTCGCCGCCACCCCGGCCTGCTTCTGCTAGGATGACAGATGGCCTCACCTGTCACCCCCAGGCCTGCGCTTATGGAGGACGGAGGTCGTTCTGCGACCTCCGGCGCCTGAGTCGCCTGCGGTACCTGGCGGGCCGGGAGAGTCCTAAACCTCTCCCGGTCCCGCTCCGCCGTCTCCTTCGCGAGCATAACTTGCTCGCAGAAGGAGACAGCAGAGTTCCACGCACTCTCGCTCCGCACGATAGCCGCAATCAGGCTATCGAGCGAGAGAACTCCCACTCCGATGGCCGCCACGAGGTCCCGCCTCCGCTCAACCCACGCCGGGCACTCTGCCAGCGTGTGGAGAGCCGTGTCCACGGTCTGGCCATCGCAGTGGTGGCACTCAGGCGTTGGCTCCTTGCGGATCAGACACAGGTGATCCCCGAAACATCACTTCCCAGTGATCACCTGCGTCAATCGGTATGAGAGGGTCCCGTGACGCCTCTCGAGCCAATCCTCCATAACGGGTCTTACCGCCGCGATGACGGCGTGCCCGTGGTAAAAAGTAGCCTATATTACTCGTGGATAATGTAGCTTTCCATTAGTAAAAGAAGTTTTAGAATTGATTTAGTGGTTTAGGCATGAAAGCATAGCAAACAAACCAACTCACTTTCATTTATAATATAAGTATGGATAGGTCCATAAAATAACTGATAATAGATTTAATGTTTGTTAGCACTATATTTAATAAAAGTCTTGACTGTAATATTACTATCGAGCTACTACATTATCTGTAACACATACCTAGATAAATGAATTCTTTTCTCCGTAAACTGTCCTACACCATTAACCTCATCATTAACTTGGTCATTAGCTACTACCTCCACTCCTTCCCCGCCACTGGATTGTTCATAACTATGCCGAGCAATCATATACAGTTGACCAATCCGATACTGGCAATAAAAAAAATAGTAAAAATAAAAATATTGTGTATGTGCTCCTCAGTATGCTATAACATTTTGTAACAATATGCTAAAGTATCTTAAAATATACTAAAACATAAATATACTAAAGTATATTTATTTTTTATTTATTGGTTGGATATTTTTCTTGAGCCATTTATGATATAATAAGAATAATGTGATTGTTAATCTATAACCATATAGTATAATGTGGCTATATTACCGAAATAAGGCTATGAACTAGTATTTGCCAAGGCTATCAATTTCAATAAATGAAAAAATCATCGTAGTAGTCATAAAAAAAATTATGCATTCTAACCAATTAGAATTGAAGCCTTAGATGAACAATAATATTAATTTTTTTACTATGCGCATTATGCTAAACAAATAGGTTTCTACATATGAAATATAGAGACTCTCCTTACCTCTTCTACGGTCATCGGCATACATATTCTGTATTCTTTAGTAAGAACCATTTTGCAATGTTTAGTTTATTTAAAGGCGGCTTCTTTAAGGAACAAGACCACAAGGATCCTTTGATTCAATTTTATTATCAACTTAAACTTATGAAGGCTGTCAAGTGTCAGCTATGACATTAATGTTATTGTGATAGAACTGACAGTCACAAACAGTGTCGTCTTAAAATGGCTTAATTAATATTTATTATTTATTTTTTATCTCACATGATTCGTAGGTTTCACCTACTAAAAACATATTTCCAATGACACTAAATGCTTTTGTAATCGGTGGGGTTTTTGATCCACAAGTACTGTATCGCATGTTTGTTGCAACTTGACCGCCTTGATTCTTTAGACTTACTGGACTACCTAGTTTGAGTTAAATATGTCTGTTAAATCTGGCAATATGAGTTTATATGAGCTATGTGGTGATACCAAGAAAAAAAATATTGTTTTGTTAATTGTCAAGTGTGTCAAATGACGACAAATTGCTTATCTTGGCCAACCTTAAACTCCACAAAGGAGAAGGACAGAATTATGATTTTATAGAAAATCGCAGTCTTCCGTGATCTACTGTTTATAGTGAACCTTATATAATTCAAATTAGTACGGTCATATGCAGGTATCAATTTTCAGGATTAATTGATAAAAAAGCTCAAAATGGATCCTAAAGAGGTCGTAGAACATTTGGTCGCTTTGAAAGTCATGAGGTTGACAAAACCGGCCTTAGTGAGTCCAAAAATTGTTACCTGTGATTCTAAAGACTTACCAGGTAATATATTAAACAATTATTTGAAGGACGATGCTACTTCAGTAACTCAAATGGAAACTCTTGCTGCTGGTCAGTTTTTATTACTGCCACAAAGTTTCGGTAACATTTATTTGGGAGAAACATTCTCTTGTTATGTTTGTGTACACAATGAAACCAATCAACCTGTGCAAAGTGTGTCTATCAAAGCTGACCTGCAGACCAATTCTCAAAGAATCTTACTAACAACACAACAAAACCTCGCTCCTACTATGTTGGATGTGGATGAAACGTTAAGTGATGTTATTCATCATGAAGTTAAAGACCTAGGCACTCATATTCTAGTGTGTGAAGTAACCTACATGTCTAACTATAACACACTGGCTTCATTCAGAAAGTTTTTCAAATTTGAAGTTATGAAACCCTTAGATGTAAAGACAAAGTTCTACAATGCCGAATCAGATGATGTTTATCTGGAAGCTCAGGTACAGAATATTACCTCTGGACCAATCATATTAGAACAAGTTTCACTAGAAAGCTCTCAGCAATTTAATGTAAAATCATTGAATGAAATTGATGAAAGCATTTCTGTATTTGGAGATGTTACATTACTTCAACCTCAAGAAAGTTGTCAATACCTGTATTGTTTGTCACCCAGAGAAAATATTTCAAAAGAAATAAAGTTACTAGCTGCTGCTAAAAATATTGGTAAATTAGATATAGTGTGGAGGTCTAATTTGGGTGAAAAGGGACGTTTACAAACTAGTCAGTTACAAAGGATGACACCTGATTATGGAGAAATACGAGTTACTTTTGAACGGCTGCCAAACAAGTTATTTGTTGAGGAGCCTTTTGATTTCCAATGTAAAATAGTTAATGCAAGCGAAAGAACCTTAGATTTAATTTTAAAATTACGCTCTCTTCAAGATTCTAGTCTACTTTGGTGCGGTACTTCAAATAAGAAATTGGGTCCACTGGAACCTGGCAAATCTTTTTGTGTCAACTTAACAGCTTTACCTATTAATACAGGTTTATGTAATATATCAGGAGTATCATTACTAGACTTATTTTTAAAACGAACTTATGATTATGACGATGTAGCTTCTATTTATGTCCATTAAAACTTGTAACATTTTAGTTAATTTTAAGAAAACCAGTTGTAATATATAATTATTAATAAATGTTAATAAAAGCAAAAAAAGTTGGTATTATATTTCATTTTATAACATTAGTTAATGGAAGCAAGCAAAAAGTAATGAAAACAGGTTTCATTACTTTTTTTTTATTTCTGGAAATTGACTAAAAATTCTCCTCAAAAGACCTGTAAAGAAAAAAAACATTAAAAATAGAAAAACATATTGAAAGCGAGTATCAAAAACATCCTATAGTTAGGTGCCTTCATTACCATCTAGTATGCGTCACTCCACCAAAATAATGTCGAAAATGGTCAATTAAATGTTATAGATAATTAGCCCCCTATGCATAGTAGAGGAACCAAAAATTTCAAAGATTTGTAATGTGAAGTTATAAAGAACTTGCAAATGATCAAAGTAATGTACTACTACTGTAATAATAGTATAATTAATTACTCCACACTGACACCATATCAGTAGTATCTACAATACACCCATGCGAAGCCTTAGCAGATCGCTAGTATAAAACATAACTGCCTAATATCAACCATTGTGTTGTATACTTGATAATTATGTGAGATTTGTGTTAATTTATTTAATATTTATACTGTAATGATACGTTATATATTTAAGCAAATAAAAATGTAACCAAGAGGGCAGTTGTAGATTTAAGGTGAAGAAATATTGGAGGGGATTTTTATTATAAATGGATGGTGATGTTATAGGACGGCGGAGTATTGTTCACGTTGGGAAGGAAGAATAAACGGATTTATTAAACATACGGCAGTTTTACTACACCTAATTCTAGTGATTTGCTAACAATTGTCCTACGGCCTGTCAGGCAGGCATGATGATCACCCCTCTTTGTGTTGGTAGGACATAACGCCTGTTCCTGCACAACATCTATTCTATACCCCCACACCAGAGCCGCTGGGTGCAGATGTTTTCATCGGCCTGGAAATACAGAATACGAAAAGAAAATTCTCATAATCATTGTATCTTGTATCTTTGGATATCTAATATATTATTATTTTGTAGTATTATATTAACATCTATTAACCGGTGTACGAAAATAAATGCAAACGTTTATAAACTTCGAATTAATTTATTAAACGTACGTAAGCATGTATAATTTAAATCACTCAAGACGCGGGTGCATGATTACCAAATATCCCATCCCAGGCGAAATCCTGGTACGCCGTTATTGCGACGGTAAGACCCGTTACGGAGGATTGGCTTCGAGAGGAAACACGGAACCCTCTGATACCGGCTGACGCAAAGGATACTTTGGAGATCATCTGTGTCCGTTTCGAAAACAGCCAACGCCTGCCACTGCGATAGCTAGATCGTGTACACGACGCTTCACACCGCTGGCAGGATGCCCGGCGTGTGTGGAACACATGTATGACCTGCGGCCATGGTACGAAACGAGCGCTCGTAGAAGTCCACTAACTCCTTCTGCGAGCTAATTATGCTCGAAAAGGAGAGAGCGACGTGGGACCGTAAGGGGCTTATAGCCTGTCTGTCAGGCCCGGGAACAGACCAGCAGGTGACTCAAGCGCGGGAGGTGGCTGAATGATCACCTTCGTTTATAAGGCCAGGCCGCAGGCCTGGAGGTGATAGGTGGCCGCAACGTGCTCCGGAGCGTCTTTAGAGGGAGGGAAGTGCAACCGTGGTTACCACACATGAGGGTGCTGTAAGATGACTCGGCTTCCGTCGGGATATCAGGGATTTCCTGTCTAGGTTACAGCTGATTCTCTGACTACTACCCGAGACGGCGTGGCGTGCGGTTTTAAGGCCGACACTGACTGACGTCGCGGCAAGGCACGGCATGATAGAATAGGGTGTCCTTCGGCAGCCCGAAGGGTACTTTAACATGAAACAGCATGGTAACGTCGTTGCAGAAAACCCAGCCACTCAATAGCGGCTTTTCCACCTTTTCGATACACTTCGATGTCATGTCGTTTCATTCGACGAACTACCGCCGGTTTTGCTCTGCACGGATCCAAAGTTCATTATGTCATTATGATTGAACGGTATTTAGTATTAATAGCAGTTGTGGCTGAAGATGAAGAGAGACAAATACGAACTGATACGTTGAAGAAAGAACATTCTTCCGTGAAGAATCATGCTTTGGCGCAAATGGGCCGGCTCGACCAATTAGTGTTACCACGGCACAGAAATAAGGTGTTAAGCAATTCTTTTGTTGCTTTTCATCGAGTGGATGAGGTTACCGGAGCCCAAATCATCACATCATCACACATCAACAGCCTTTAATAGTCCACTGCTGAACATAAGCCTCTCCTCCTTAGCAAAAGAGGTTTTGACCTACTATACCACGCTGGCCAGACGGGTTGGTATAGGGTTTGTGACAAGTTTTCCTTCTTTTATGTGCTGGTGTCCTGCGTTGTTTTGCGCCCTTTGTCAGCTCTTACGACACCCACGGGATGAATTGGGGTAGTGACATTCCGTATTCTTAATCCGTCACTACACGTCAAGTTTTGTAAACCATGTACCAAGTTCCTTGTTTTTAGCTCTTTTACAAGATACGGCTTTTCTTTTAGTCAAAACGAAAATAAGAACGTTGGCAATACTGAGTTCATCATCTGTCTCTGTCTGTGCTATCTAATGAGTTTACGTTTTTGATATTTTTCTAATTTTACCTGTATTCCAATGTTAAAATATTTAGATGGAAAGATGGAATAGAGTATATTAATAAATCTTAAATAAAATTACTTTCTGCAATAGACTAGAACAAAGAAAAAAAGATTACACATAAGCAGTTAATGTTTTTTATAATCGACAAATCGGATTGTAATCAATTTTATTCTGATGTGGCCCAATCATGTCGTTTCAAATTGTTCCTTTGCTGTCTTAGCCTATTTCATTCGGAATGTTAATGTGAATTTAAGAAATAATCGTTGAACTTTGAAATGGCATATCAAACGCTTCTTCAAGAATATATGCTCATACCTCCTGTGACAAGAGTTTACACTACCGCCTGTGTTGTCACCACATTAGCTGTCGTAAGTTTATTTGTTTGTGCAGTAGACGTGTCTCATTGCCTTATCTTAACAACTACAACTTACGGATGCAATCTCTGAAGTTAACTTTATAATTTTTGTTTCAGCAACTAGACCTAGTCTCACCTTTTCAATTATACTTTAATCCGAATCTAATTCTTATGAAATATCAGCTATGGAGGTTGATCACTACATTCCTGTTCTTTGGAAACTTAGGATTCAACTTTTTCTTCAATATGATATTCACATACAGATACTGTAGAATGCTTGAAGAGGGCTCATTTAGAGGAAGGACTGCAGATTTTGTTGTTATGTTCGTCTTTGGAGGTGTTCTGATGATTGTATCCTTTGCTAAATGTATTTGATCATGCACTTTCATGTGCTACTATTTCACCATCAATATTATGTAAATGTATATGTTCCTGGCAATCTATGATTCTGTGTATGGAATATCTGGGATGTTCAAGCAATGTGTAAAGTAATAATTTTTGTCAAAGGTTATATACAACAAGTTATATTTAGTCACTATTAATTTTATTAAAATTAAACATTAGGGTACTCATTAAAAATATCTATAGAAAAGAGTTAGGTATTTATTTTTGCATTAGAATAAAAAAGCACATCTGAAACATAACTAATTCTAGCTCTTGTTTAATTGATAAATAAAATCTTTCTGGTGTTATGGAAAATAATTGATCACTCTTAAATTGTTCAACTTTCAAGTTATTCTTTTTATTAAAAAAATAAGTAAAAATGACATGATCGTTAAAAGTATTAATAGTTAACAAATTAAGAAACAATTAGATATCATAATTATTGTAAAAGAACTTTATTGCAATTTGCAAGACTAGGTTTCTATATTGATAGTGCAGTCATTATAGTAAGTTCACCTCGGAATTCGAGATACCCAGCTGTAAGTCTGTAAATACTTGTAAATTGACACCCTAAAAGTTGTCTCAAAACCTACATATGGTAGGGTGTAAGCAACTATTAAATTTCAAGGTCAAAAGTCACAAAAAACATCAAGTTCATCAACTATATATGGCGCGTTTTCGACCGGAGGCACCGGTTGACCTGAAGTGATGCTGTGACCGCGCGCTCTGTGGGTAGATATTTATAAAAGGAAACTCCACTAGACAATGTCATTGTACCTAACTGTGCCCACTAGTATAAAAAATAATCCTAAATTTGAATTTTATCTTACAATTTTTTTGACTTGTGGGTAGCCCCACTACTCATAATCAGTGACAAAGTTAAGGGACTTTAAACTAAAGGAAAAATCAAGTGTTGATATTATTTACCATTGTCATACCTATAATTGGCAAAATTCTTATTATTTTCTTAACCAATTATCTCAGATATGTGCATTCTTTGTTAATTTATTATTTTTAGGTCAGGCATTTACTATAATGATTGTGTATGTGTGGTCCCGGCGGAATGTCTTTGTTAGAATGAACTTCTTTGGCTTGATGAATTTCCAGGTAAGGCATTCTCTTTGAATTTGAAAACTTTTGCTATTTCTACTCATAATGAAACTAAAGACAAGGTTAGAATTTTGTCTTCGAATTCAGGTAAACAATAATATGGTCTTAGTGGTTAAATAATAAACATGTTTTTGTCTGCAGTTTTATATTAATACATAGTCTTTAAGTATTGAATGAATACTAATGCTGTATATAATACCCTAAATTAGGAATAATCAATATTATATTATTTTCCTATAAAACATACATACTTAATTTTTTTGTCAATGAGTTTAATAAAGGAGTGAGTTATGTTTGTATGAAGTAAATCTATTAAGATGTACTTGTTTCTTTTTATTTCAGGCACCTTACCTTCCCTGGGTGCTGCTAGGTTTCTCTGTTTTACTTGGGAATGCAATATCTGTAGATTTAGTGGGTATGGCTATTGGACATATTTATTTCTTCATGGAAGATGTACTTCCTAGAGAAAGAGGAGGCCAGAAAATCTTGAAGACTCCAAGATTTTTGTGAGTGATCTTTTGTTTTTAATTAATATCCTTTGCTACCTGATCCTATCTGATAATCTATCTTAAGATCTCACAAGGCACAACTAATGCAATAACAAAAAGACTAAGCAGTCACTTTTTAATTAAACATATTAATACAGCAATCATTCATTTACCAGAAATACAGAAATAATATGTACATAAAAGCACAAAATGTGATCTACCTTTACCATTACTGATTTTTAGTATTATGTTCAATTCTACAGCAACACAGTCAACCCATAAAAAGGTTAGAAAATGCAATAGCATAAACCTCTCAAGAAGTAATTTTATTCCTATGAGACTAAAAGAATATATTTATATTTCAGAAGGAAACTATTAGATGGTCTGCCAGATGAGCCGGAGTATGTTCCATTGCCAGAATTAAATAATTTACGACCTGGAGGCTTTGATTGGCAACGTCGCAATGGTGATGATGATGCTGCTAATAGATAAATACATTAGTACACAATGACATGGATGACATGCGAAATGAAATACAAGTTAGAAGCCAAAATATTATTTTAAGAATGCATCTATCTAAAAAGTTTTAATTGTATATGTAAAACTGCATAATGGTGTAGTGTTCATGGTATTTTAACTAGATACAATTATTATTTGTGTTGTGGAGGGTCCCCTTTTTTAAAACATAAATGAGACATATTTTGTTTTTGTTAAAGCAGATTTTTTAGTTTTACAACACATCTTTTGTCAGATATTTGCTTAAGGTATGGATAGTAAGGACAGTATACATACATACTGTACCCTAAGTATAAGTTTAATCAGTTTTCGCAGATATACTATCGCTCAAGAGTATGTGCCCACTAAGAGGAAAACATTTTTTTACAGTTTAAACAAATGAAATGTATTAGTAGTAATTTTGATTATTTGTTAGCTATATTTTAATCAGTTTTATTGTTAATGATGGCCTCATAAGTCTTTCGCTATTTCAGGCACTTCAGACTAGGACCTTTTGGTGCTCTTTCTGTTTCTTTATATGAATATAAGTAAATGTCTTAATTCTCACAAAACTCTGTTTCCAAGTTTGTAAATATAAGCTCAATTACTGGCGGAAGTATTGGAATCGCCATCACCTCACAAAAACTAGGCTGGCAACCTAACCACACATTGTCCATTGTTGACTGCCTTTGCTATTCATCTTACAACTCTACAAGTCTACCTGATATGTAGGAAAAGATGTTCGTACCTGCCTATCAAGCTGATCCCATAATATCCCAAATGATTCAGGTGCGCTTTACTTTTAAAGAAAGAGAATTATTCTAAGAAAATTATTCTTTTTTTTAAACCTAAGAAAATTATTCTTTTTTTTTAACCTAAGAAATTTATTCTTAAAAAAGTAAACAATTACTGGTTTAATGATATCAAAAAACGAATGATAAAAGGTTTTTTATAATATTCGATACGGATCTTGAGCCTTATATACCTTCATCTGGGCAGATTAAAATTTTTGGATCCGTTTGGTGATTGGGGTGGGGGCATTAATTCGTAGCGTCGGCCAATAATTGTCTCCTATGATAATGTCGCTGCACGTTATTCGTTCTTTCATACTTTACGGCGACGAATATACAGCTGAATAATTTGATTGATCCCATTTAATCATTTCAATTTTTTCTCTTTATCAATTTAATTTAAATTAAAAATTTAAATATTTTACATGAATTTAGATAACGTTATGTATTCTGTAATATGTAAAACACAATGAATGACATGATAGTGACGAAGAAGAAATGACCACCATAACCTACCTCCCAGTATCAGCGCTTTTAAAGAAATAACTTGATGGAAGGTGTCACCCCCATTTCCCAGTAATAGTTTTATAAAGAAAATATTTGTTGGACAAAAATAAATAAAAGGTTTTTATCATCATTTTAATTAAAACCATTCTCTCTGTCGCCATAGAATCAATAAGAAGTTACCTAACTTGGGTAACTAAGAATAATAAGTGCATAATGTGTACTCTCTTGCCGAGCGCTCAAGATCTCTGTCGAACTATAGTAGCAGCTCTTAAATTTTTCATTATGTTTATTACTTGACAGGTTAACTAAAACAAGTGTCACTTGAAAGTTTATCTAATAAGTTTTTATAAGAACGGGTCAATAACAACAAATTATTTACTTTATATTATAAATGCGTATTTTGTGGTAAATACAAACAACAATATTAAATGCTTTTAAACCATATTTTGTTTGTAATGGAAAGAAAAGTGCAGGTGCCCAAATACTTTTGAGCGTTAGTGTACGTATGCACATATATTTTAACACCTATTTTTATAACCCTAATGTAGAAAAAAGGAAACTTATACTAAGAGTACAGTTAGTTATTGTATTAATGTACAATACGAAATCGGGCGATTTTATTGCTAGAATCAATATAATACTGTATTTTTGTGTATAAAGTTTTTATAGGTAAGGGTCTGTTATTTGTGAATATTATATAAATGATTGAGGTATAAATGTTTTATTGTTCTTACTAATTTATTTAATATCATATTAATAGCCAAAGTAGTTCATATTCGTTTCCTTTTCTATATTTTGTTTTTAAAAGCTATCAATTGACAAATGATTGGTCAAGTGATGCCATTTACTTAATAAGAATATTTTTTATTACCTTCGCCGGGGGTTCGTAAAAGATATTGCTAGAAACTTGAAAATTCATGCTGGAATGCGGTAATGAATGCGGTGGAATTCCGATCACGGGGTGAGTTCTTATACTCGTAAATAGACAATACTGGTAGACTTTAATCCGTGTGGTGACGGATTAAGAATACAGAGTGTCACCACCCCTATTCATCCCGTGGGTGACGTAAGGGTCGACTAAGAGAGCAAACTACGCAGGACAACAGCACTGCCAAGAGAAAGAAAACTTGAAACAAACCCTATACCGTACAGCTATACATACCCCTACATACATACATACCATACAACCCTATACGTATAGCCCTATACAGTACTTCGTCTTTTGCATTTTTTTCTGTTTGTTCAGGCCGACAAGAGGTATCTAGGTACTGATATCGCAGTTGTTAGACAGCTCGAGATTTTCTAAGAACCGAGCCGGTCAAGACAAGCCTCGGCATCAAAATGTTATACCTATAGTTTGTTTTGTTCCTCGGCCCGCGTTGACTTCTTTCATGTAAATTTTTGCAAATGCAAACAACACTGTAAAACGCTAAAAGTATACTGATAACTCAGACGAAATAATTCTACTGAGCTCTGCCAGCAGATAATAATAATAAACAATGATTTGCACAGGCAAACCAAGTAGCCAGGATCGTTCACCAACAGCTTGCCCTAAAATATCAACTTGTGAATCTAGAGGTGCCATACTACAGGTATGTGTCCGACCCAGTTCTCGAGAATGGTCGGGCCACGTTGTATGGGATCGATAAATTATTGCAAACAGGACTATTGTTGCCAATAAGCCAGGTATTGTGGTGATAGATCGATTAGGAAGTCGCGCAATGATTGTTAATATCGCCTTCCTCATGACTAGAATCTCGTGAAAGGTGAAAAAGAAAAATTATTCAAATATTTGGATTTATCTCACGAGATTATCGATATGTGGAATGTGGATTCGGCGATAATTGTTCCGATAGTCGTATCAGCTTACAGATTGATTATACAATTGAACGCCTTAAGAGGCTCACGTTAGACGGCTGGATCAAGGGTCTGATGCAGAAGGCAGTTCTCCTTGACACGGCCCGTATAGTGAGGAGGTTCCTGTCTTTGGAGTCGTAACCGCCGGTGTCTTGGTCCCTGTATCCGATGTCGGTGGTCTACTATTTTTTTATATTTTTAAATGTATTTTTTATCTTTTGTAATATATTTAAAAATGTAATTAATATGTATATAATGTAATTAAGAGAAAATTAATAATTTATTTATTACACACAAAACAGAAACAGGAACTCCAAAAACATGTCACAGTTTCTGGTGATACAAAAATGCAAGCATAAATTGAGTATGCTACAGTTGAGGTTTAATTTAGATTTAATGAAACCCTGTCTCCCAAAGTAGGCCGTGCGGCCTGTATCTTAGTAAACAGTGTTCGACCCAATGATTACAGAGTCTGATCTCCAAAAGTAGTCGATTGAAAGTGACTGTTTATTTATTTTTATTTCTTGATACCTATTGTGGTGTATGTAATTCGTGTAATAATATTAAAGTATAATAGTAGCAATATGTGGATGTAGTAGTGGTCTTCTACTACTATATACTATACTGAGAGATCACTTTTGCGTGGGACCCCTCTGTCTCTTGTCAAAGGTGATCTCTCATATGTTACAATTACCATCCCAGTAACCTTGAAACCTACAACGCATAGTTGAATATTTAGCGTAAATATACGAAGAACAGGTGTGTGGTAATGAATAATAGTTTGCGGCGCTTACTCGAACTCAATATAAGGTAGAAATTAGTTTTTTTAGAATGGCAAAACTATTGATCTTATAAAAAAACCATAATATAACTTCTAGGAAATGTTCTCAAAATATAATTTTGTAATAAAAGTTTTTTATCATAAAAAGAGTCGGCAAGGAGATTTATTTATTTATTAAGTCTTCCTGCAAACATATTCCATAAGGCGGACTTAATCCCTCAGGCATTTTCTTCCAGTCAAGCCTTTGGGTGTTGCAAAGCTATAATATAGCTAACTATTATGTGGAGATAACGTTGAAAAACTACTATTAAGTACCATTTTCCCAATATGGCGGTACCAGTGGCAAAGTTGAAATTCGGAAACAGCACATCAAAATCTGTAACAATACCAATTTTCAAAACTCCCGGCAAACTTTACATGTAAAAATACCAAATTACTCTACTAAGTCGTAACCACCGTGTTTATCTACTTAGGTACGTACAGCTGCTAATGTTGGTTGGACAGTGGATGGGATAAAAACGTTAATTAATTGGGTTGCAAAGAAATAAATTGATTGTAATCAGAATTGTTTATTCTATTTTAACGCAGTATTTATAGAAAATTGAAATTTATAAAGAAACGCTTGACAATAAAATAGACCGTACAGAAGTTCACATTACAGATATTGCACACAGTCTGTTTGGAACGATTATTCGTTTACTATGACAATCATATGGACGTGAAGGTCGTAACATAAAGAAAACTACTAAAACCTATTGTTTTTAACATAATTTCACGGTTTGGACGTAAAGTGGTAGTCAAAATTCATTTATGATAATTACCAAACTGTAATTATATGAAATACTTTGCAATTTTATTTAATAGATAACTATAAGGATACATATGTCAAACGCAATTTATGAGAACTGATTTTGTTTTAATTTATAAAAATTATAATCTTTCTAAATGTATTATAACAGAAAAACTATTAAAAACTAATTCAGTATAAAACTGGTATCTGTCCTCGATAGTTCCATAGCTTTATTAAACTACTAATAACAACAAACAGTAGGTACACTTTTTTTTTTGTTACCTAGTCGTATTCAGTCTTCACATAAAGTTATACCATCAACTCCAAATCTTGCAATTACACAAAAATAGGATTCAATCGAAAAAAATAATAAGATATAAATAATTAAACATCGAAGTATCCTTTCGCTCTAGTCCTCTAAAATACGATGCAGATTATGATTGAAACTATCATGTACATATGTAAGTGTTTATTATTTTTAATCGCTTTATACTTAGTTACAATCTTAGATCATTTATATCTCTAAAGTGGAGTGTCGCACATTATGCGGCTACGTTGTACAGCCGCTAAACGTCATTCTACTTTACTATGCGCCTATGTGCCTAATGTTAGCAGTTGATAAAAAACTCCCATTAAAATAGGTAGTGTCTTGTTGCTCTCTCTTTTCTCAAATTTAAATTATTTAATTTCTTTGAAAAAGACAATTCAAATACAAGAATATAATATTCAAAATATGTTGATAAGATTTTTTTTGTGTCTATACAAGTCTACTATTGTGATGATATGGTAAAACGAAAAAAAAGAATAAATATTTATGTATATTATTACAAATTAATGTCCTTCCTTTTGGGTCTACTTATTCTAAAACCTTTCACTATTTATAGAAAAAAAACAATAAATTCAATCGGATGCGAACATATTACAAGAGGTATAAGTTTTTTAAAGCATAGTTGAGAATCTGATTCGGGTTTTGAAGGAATTTAGGAAAATAGTTAAAGCTCCTTAAGGAAAATATCAGCGTACCTCAATACGGACATAGTATTGAACAATAGTATACAGTAAGGGCTTATATCCTAAAGATAGTTTCAATAATAACTCTAGTAGTATTTGAATTTTAACAGACACACCAGTGTCTCAAATAATTTGTAACTCTTATGTATGTTGAATGTCTACAAATTTTCCTAAATAAACATAAGTTTTTTGTTATCTTCTTATCGTAATTCAAGCTGTCAAATTTCAATCATTGTGTACAATCTTAACAGATAATAAAAGTAGAGCGGTTGTTTATAGATTAGGTATGTATGCTAATTTCAGTTATGGAAACCTTCGCAGACTTCGGAAAGAAAGCAGGAAATTTAAAACCTACCAGCATTGAGGAGGGCGCCTTTAGATGTGTTCTATTTCCAGTAGTTGATTTGATTATATAACCACCTGTTTCTTTACGCTGTATCGCTGCCCCGCAATACTGGCTGTTCACCCCAACCGTAACCACAATAGTTTTTTTATTATTTTATTTAAAAAAATACTGAATTTTAAATATAAGTAGTTTCGTCACAAGAATTCAGAAGTAAATAAACAATCAGGTCATAACGACACAGCGTGATGTCTCTGAATAAACAATTCCATATATTTCAAAAATTATATAAGTAGACTTGGATTCAAGCTTAGGAGGTGTCCTTACGTTATTCTTAATAAACGGTTCAAAGAGTCAAGCAAATATTATACAACACACAAACAAAGTTGAGATCATACAGAACATTTATTTCAACAAAATAGTTGTAATACTACAAAACTTATTTACACATCACTATGAACATGTAATATTTAAGTTTATTATACATTATAAACAGAATTACAAAATAGTAAAAATCACAATAAATCTCTATCAATCAATATACGAAGTGGGCACCTCCCTTACTCAATATCTGATTATCTTCTTGTCAGACCACATACAAACATAAAGGTCCAAACTATTCAGTTTCATTTTTGGCTTCGTTGTTATCACTATTATTTAGCAATTTTTTTGCAGTTGAACAAATATGTATCTATAATCTACCTACATCAATCACATGTGGGACATTTTCATAGCGCTACAATAGCGAGTAGCACCGTTATGTCGTCCGGTTTTCCTCCTGTAAACAAGCAACTTGGTAAATTGACGGACTTCTCAACGTCCCTGCATCGGGCTAAATAATATTGAAATTTAGATAAATTATAAAACGACCCACTTAAAGCAAGAAATAAAATTGAAAATTAAAATATTTTTTTTACTATAGTATTTGTCTTGTTATAATAATTTGTGGTATGTGATATTTTCACCCATTGTAAATCGATTTAAAGAATTCTTTTAATTTTAATTTAATAAATTCCATATAAGTAGAACCACCCATTTATTTACTTTTTAAATCTACTTCTAAGGGTAGAAAATGAAGGAATGATATCATGTTGTAGGAAAAGCACTGAAAACAATGATACTTATTAAAACAATTATTTTTGTTATGAAACCAGTTTGATTGATCTACTCATTCCGCTTACCTATAGCGTCTATGCCATTTTGTCTCGCACTTTTGGCGAAAGGCGACATGTAGCAGCCATCGAAGGAGAGGTTGCGCGCCATCCAAGCAATTGAATTGGCGACAGCCTGGAGCCTCTCTGTATTCCCCGCAAAGTCCTGTGCGCGACGCATTTCCGCCACCAGCACGGGCTCTGGTACATTGTCGAAAACACCGTCTGTCGCCACAAGGATTACATCACCGCACTCTACCGAGAAGTGTGACGTTTCCGCTGATTCTGGCCTGAAATAAAGACGGCTTTCATTAAACAATTATGTAGCGATTTGAGCATTACGTCAGATATGCCGTATAATTTAAATGTCATAAATGCAGTTTTTGCGAAAATAAAATTACTTAGGTGGATCGGGAATATTCTTACATGGTTAAATTAAAACAGACGGGACTTGGCGAAACATGTGGCATGTTTTTTCAACGTCATGAATAAACATGATAAGCAATGCAGTATGAGATATAAACTATTAATAGCTACAAGTTACCTAGGTTTATTTTAGTACGTCCTCAAGAAAATAAATCGCAATTGCACGATATTAGTAAAAATTAAGATGTATTAAAACCAAAAAATATTTAATACGGTTATTATTATTGAACTGGTAGGTAATTAGGCGTTAATCTTGTAACGGTGTGCTGCATTTTCCTAATATGGCAGATCCAATTCGAATAATAATTATAATTTAATCTTATGAACATTTTACATAAATAATCAATTCAGTTGAAATCTGTTTAGATAGGTTTTGTCAGACTGGATTCTAACCATCTATTTGTGTCCGTCCATTAATAATTGGCAATTGAAGTCTACATCAATTTAATGTAGTACCTAGACTTTTTGTGCTACTGAAGACATTGTCGGTCATTAAAAAAAAAGCCGTGTGGTGTCGTGGGACACCCGATAGGAACGAAGTTGTAACGATCGAGTAAAACTGATTCGGCACATTTTAATTACAACGCGATCTATGAAAGCGGCTATTACCTACATATTTTTCAGTTGGTTTCTAATTAAAACAATTTATACATTGGTAAAAATCTCCTTGAGAAATGATTTGATTGATGATCTATTCGATAGATGGCGCTGAATGACTGACATAAAAAGATAGAAATGAAAATATCTGGCTTGCTTTCTATAAGAGAGAGAGAGACAGACAGAGAAACATGCGACGCCGCACAGCTTACAATAGCTTACTATAGCAAAAAGTGTCGTGACCAATTTTCGTAAGATTTTATTCCGTCTAGCCCCCTTTCACAACGCGCGATAAGGAACTTCGTTCCAATAAAATACGAATAAGTCATACGATATATCATAGGAAAATATAAATAAACCATTATGAACAAGAAATAAAGTGTGTGATAAATAGAGTACGCTAACATCCGCCAAAAAACTTCTCTTTGTTCATGGATACAATAGTGTTCGCATGTTCTAGATGCAGATCTTATTTTTCTAATATATCCCTTGAATATAAATTTACGTAAATTATTCTTTTCAAAACTAATTTTTTCGTTGTATGTACATTTTGAATGAGGACAACTTAATATCACTACAGAACGTATGCACATGCAATATAAACACTACTAGATGAGCGGATGAGCCCAGACGTTTGAAAAAACTTGACCTTTACACCCGTTTATTTATGTGCGCATCTGATATATTTTGTATAATGTAGCTACTTATTGACCCTTATTGATTGATTGATCGATGATGTAAAAACATACGACTAACCCAATTTTAGGATGTAGGTATGGGAGTTCCATCTAGTACCTTTGAATACAGATATGTTGACACACTGTGTAATGGTGCGCGGCAATGAGAATTATGTAAGTAATTAAACAAATCAATAGCCTTCCCAGTAAACCAGAGCCATTCATCAAATCTTGTTTATACATTACGTCACGAATGAACTCGATTAAAATAAATTCTTTTGTACCAATAATACAAGTAAACATAGTTCCATAAATTTAAGAGAACACACGAGTTTTAATGATTTGGCAAATATCCAGTAAGCTAAAAATTCTAATATTAGTGCATACAGAAATACAACAGCCGTTTGTGGAATGAGCACATGACTACTAGTCTCGTGGTTTGAACATAGATCTTATGACTACGGTGCTAAATTGAGGACAAATTAAAAGTTTTATTATTATTTATATGACAGCCTAACTAAACTATCCTTTTGAAATTGTAATCATATTCAATGAAAATATGTTTATTATACATGATAACAATTAAAAAAAAAAAACATGCAATGAACGTTCTGTTGACATTCAATGGCATAGTAAGAGAACTAAATGGAAGCAATCTAAGTTCGATATGCACGTGTGCATGTATTTACTACCATGTTATTCTTTATATTTACCAAATCTTTGCTTCTAAAAGCCGTTAGATTTAACCGTTATCACATCCAGTATTCTTAGCAAACCATACCATTCTTAAAAAGTTTTAGTTAAATAGATATTAACCATATGATCAGTGTGGTGGAATTTAGCTTAATCATATCGTGTGAAGGCCGCCGTGTGGCATTTCATAAGAAAAACAGAGCCTGTCGTGAAATTTCTGATATAAATATTTTTTTACATTCATGAGATATGAGAAACATTTTATATAACCTGAAAAAGATATTTTCTAACTGTGACTTGTAGAAAAGTTTATCAGTAAAAAAAAGGAAAAGTGCAATGGCGATAAATTACCAGACAGGATGATAACTAGTCTTAATATTCTTGTTAGTTGTATATCATTATTCTATTTTATTGATTTCATTATTTTATTTAAATAACTACTAATTAAAGAGTTTCTGAGTTGTGTTCTACGAAAAAATATTAAAGTAATTAATCTAATAAAATATAATATTATACACATTCTTTTAAAAGCAATAAGGCACACGTTTGCTTATTAATATTTTGTAATGTTATAATATTTTCTTGTCTTAATGGTATCAGCACTAGCGAAAGTTTTTTTATAAAAACATTCTCCAGTCCTTATACATTAAGCACAGGATCTGTGTATCCAGCAGTTTAGGAGAAAGTACTAATTAAATATTTAAAGTGTTACTGACAAATCGACACTAAAATTTCAAGATTGTTAAAACTGTTCAAAAACACAAATTACACAAATAAAAAAATTAAACATATTTTCTGAAATTCGCTATTAAAAACAATTAAGTAAGATTCCATTATGTATTTGGCACAATTCCAAAAATACGGCGGAATGTTTGTGATTTTAGATAAACTAAAGTACGAGTACGAAGTTTTTATAACCTTAAATGTGTTGTAAATGTGATTTGTTTGTGATCAATATTGTTAAAATCTCCATAGCATATATAATTATCTCTATTAAAGTAACCTTTTGCTCTAATTATGCTGATACTATCACTAAGAAATGATGACGCAGTACACTTCTTTACATGTCAGTGTGCGATATATGCAAATAATTTACATAAACAGATCTCTTGAGGCAGACTGCAGTGTCATTTTGAAATTACCTTGACTCCGAATACTTTTTCTAATATTTTTAACGGTGAGTGCTAAACATTAGAAGCCGAGTATTAGAATTTAAAGTTGAGGAATACAATGCACCTGTTTATAATATTATAGTTTGTATATAGACTGTACAAACGACATATGTACCTAATATTTGTTTGAAACACTAAAAAAAAATAACATTTTTTTCCTGATTTAAACAACTAATGTAACTTTGTGTGTGTGATTGTGGAATCTGGGGATCTCATAATCCCAACTTTGGCAAAAGCGAACGTGTCGATATCTATCATTGACGTTATGTGTGTAAGTGTTATGGTGGCCAATTGCCCTCAGGGAGAATGTTGTAGAAGGTACCTTCATGTAGAACTTTATACATAATAGTAACAGGTAAACTGACGACAATTTAGTATGCTTAAGTCGAGGATAAACTGCAATTTGCTATGAATACTTCAACATATACCTAATAGAAAGGGACAAAAACTTGAACCTTAACAAAACAGGTATAGCTGTGATGTTTATCACAATGCGTACAATTAATTTTGGTTGGCTCGTTTTCTATCCGATAACAGAAGTTAAATAGAGATAAAAAAAAGTTGTAAATAAATGGTACATACCTGTCACTTAGCACATTTCGGTCATGTCCCGGCGGTGGCAGGCTGAGCTGATAGGGCGTATTGAAATAGTGCTGTTGTTCGTGGGAGCGGTGTATTACTCGGCCGCCACGTACAACCATGTACCCACTGTCGCCGATGTTCGCGGCGCGCATTACGCTCTCTGAGCGGTCGAGTATCATTACACATGCTGTGCTACTACCTGTAATAGAATGTACCTCATGATAAACCAGATAAACAGTAAATACAAGCATAAAAAGTGAGGGAAACTCAACTAAGCGAACGGTAATTTTGTTCTCAACACTAAAGAATATCAAAATCATGATTGATATAAAACATTTATCTCATTCTCTACGACGAGGCATTTTGTAAACTAAGTTTGAGCACAAGGACAAAAACAAATGAAATTAAAGAATTCTATGACAGATACGTTTTCAGGTTCAAATTCTGTTTATCAATAGCGATGATGCGGCGGCACCGCATACTCGTAACACTTATGGACGGAACATCAATGTTTATAATCAAGTTTGCTGACACCGATAAAAACTGAAGTGATATGCTACAATTTTACTTTACCATCGGCGATTCGGGTAGATCTTTTTTGGGCAGAAAGCAACTGAACTATGCCTTTGAAAGGGGTTATGAGTACTGTACCTAAAGTGAAAGATGCCACTGCAGCAATTATACCTATTCTGCCAATTGACTTGGCCTTTGATAGTAGTCTCTCGAAAATGAGTTTTTACTGACAATTTATTAACATTTTCATCTAAAGATATGTACATCATTTATTGTCTTAAATTAAAATATTTTTTTAAATGTAGTTGTTGAAATTTTGTTACTACTACTAAAAGAAAGTTAAGATTAATTTTTGACCTTAATATACTTAGGCAAGTTAAATAGAGCTTTACTAAGGTATTTTTAAGAACATTTATGCTAAATCAGGTCACAATCATAATTTTATAACTAAAATAGCAGCTCAATAAGGAAATATGAATTTCCATTTCATTAATTGGAAATAAATATATGAGAGTATAGTTGTATGTGCGTTTAGGTTAAAAACAAAACAGTGCTAGTATAATGTTGAAGGTGTTTGACTTGTATACAAGTGGTTGTGTGTTCAATCTCCACCCAGTGCACTGCCAATGTTAATCCACTTCTAACACAAACATTTAACTTATGTGAAGGGGTACAAGGATACCAGTAATATGTGACAATATAATACACAATAAAAAAAAACTTTTATCTCACTTTTCAGTTTATTTTACAATTTATTTTTTAATCCATTCGTCCTATTTTAAATTAATTATTAATTACTTTTCTTAGTTTTTTTTTTATCATATATAATATTCGTAATAAAAAGTTTGATTTTATACACACCTAATATTGGTTTTTTGTGTTCCAATAATTCATAATAAGACTTGGCCAACAAATCTCCAGGCTCTGTTAGTTTAAAGTGTCCCATCCGAACTAGTCTTTCACAGGTCTTCATGAGGTACGAGGAAAACTCGCCTGGATCAATGCCATAAGCACGCCATCCTCCTACACCATCTGCAACACCTGTAAATAAATATTAATTTTAATATTTTAAGTTTGTTTCATTTTTGACAGTTGCTTGATAACATAATTTTGCTAGACCGTAGTTGGTATGTACTATAAAATTAGCAGTATTAAAAATATACAAATAACTTTTTTTCAATAAAATATACTATTTAATACCATTTACAGGCGTAGTTTAAATGACCTATTTTGTGAAAATAAATGTGTTTACTGATTTAAGCAATAAAAGTAGTTACATTCTGATTTTCCTAGTTTTAGAAAGAAACATCGTACCGACTCGGTTCGAGAGCACCTCCCTAACTGCCTCAGCCAGTGTCGGACTCCTAAGCATCGACATCTCGAGCGAAGTCCAGTTTCGCTGTCATTTATAGGGTAAGGTCAAATTGGCCTCGAAGAAGCTCAGTGTGCTGAACAGATCGAGGCAGTATTTCACTCCAGCGCAATTGTTCGGACTAATACCGGCTGCAACTTGCCGCAACTGCCCGTCATCTTTCCACACGGCAAATTTTTATCCCCACCACTTAAGACCGGCAACGCGCTTGTGACTCCTGAGTTGCAGGCGTTCATAGGCGGCGGTATTGGCTTTCCATTAAGTGACCCGTGTGCTCGTTAGCCCCCTATTCCATAAAAAGCATATGCCCACTCCATTTCTTTTATTATTGAAATATTTCTAAAACACTACAAAACTTTTTCTCTATACTTATGAAGAGATGGATTTATTTGTAAAATAATAATAATGTAAAATAATTTAAGTTCAGTCTTTTTTAACTTTTAATTTGTTTGTATTTTTACGTATTTTAATTTTGTATTTGGTATAAGCTTGAATATTTTAGTGCATGCTGTGGTCTCTGAACTGAAGGAGTACACTGTTCAAAAAACATGTGTGTAATATTTGTACTTTTGTGTATATCTCTTGTTGAAGATCCAATAAATAAATAAAAAAAAATTTAAATTGATTTACTAAGCTTCCTCTTGAAGAATCAACAGAGTAAAACTTACAAGTTTTTCGTTAACTGACAACCTACTCATTTTAGCTGGCAGTCCTTCAACTTCATTTCTATTGAACTATATTTATATATATATATATACTGCTGCATAAAGTAGCTTTCTACCAATTCAAGACTCAATATCATTGGTATTAATACTTTCAGAATTTATTGACAAAACAACATAAAACTAATACAATATAAAAAATATAGGTGGGCAATTGTGAATCTAATAAATCCCTTTTTGTCTGTGAGGAAATCCCCTCGGATATTACCCACTAGTGGTTACGTCGGACAGATTTTAAATTATTTATGATAATATGGAGGTCAATGTACACATAATGAATCATATTTTTTAATACAAACTAATTTACCACTGACTTGGTTACACGTAAATAATAACTTAATTAATATATTCGGCTAATGTTTTTGTTAAATAGAAATTTGGTAACACTACTCTGTCAAGAAAGTACCGGAAAAAGATCAATAATACACAAAATGTTAGTTATTCATCCAAATTTATTTTATCACCTTCAAAGTATAGTCCTTCAGAAACGATACACTTACGCCAACGAATAATCCAATCATAAAAACATTTTTTAAACGCTGTTTCCGGAATTGAGTTCGGTTCTCGCCGCGAATTCTCCTTTATGTCTTCTACCGATTGAAAACGGGCGCCAAGAAGTGGTAATTTGAGTTTAGGAAAAAGAAAGAAGTCGGCTGGAGCCATATTTGGTGAGTATGGTGGTTGCTCGATGGCATTTGTTGAGTGTTTGGTCTGAAATTCGGTCACAATGATGGCCTTGTGCGAAGGCGCAAGATCGTGGTGCAAAATCCAAGAATTTTCAAACAGTCAACGTGACTTTGACTTTTGATCGACTTTGGCGTGTTTGTTTCGGTTTCGGTTTAGTTGGAAGACGCCACTCCGGAGCTTGTGGACTAGTTTGCTTGCAAACTCGTAAACCCACGTCTCGTCACCAGTAACAATGCGTTTCATGAATGTTGGGTCGGAATTGACTCGTTGTAGCATGTCCTCAGCGACTCTCATGCGATTGAGTTTTTGGCGAAAATTCAGGACTTTTGGGACTAGCTGAGCGGAAACATGTTTCAAACCCAAATTATTAGTTAAAATGGTACAGATCGAATCGTGAGATAAAGAAAGTTCTATCTCTCTCAAAGTTGAGTGATGATTTTCAGTCACTATTTCCTTCACTTTTGCGATCTTAACTTCAGTTGCAGACGTTGAATGCCTACCAGAGCGAAGCAAACCTTCCATCACATCTCGACTTTTAACACTTTGTACCATTCATAAGCACGAGTTTTTGATAAAGTCAATTCACCGTAGGCCTTCTATAACATTTTCAGTGACTCTGAACACGAAACGAAACTCCATTGGCGATGCATAATTTAAGACAAACCTTTTGTTTGATGTTTTTGTCCATTATGAAATTTGTAATACACACTAGAATGATATAACTAAAAACAGCACTGTATTTAATACTAGCTGACCCAGCAAACGTTGTTTTGCTATTTACATTATTTTTTTTTTTTTTTTTAATTGCTTAAAATCCGTTCTTAGCTGACCTTTACTCGGTGAAAGAATATTCCTACCAAATTTCAAGTCTTTGGCTCGAATGGTTCCAGAGATATCGTGATGAGTGACTATATACGTGGAAATCTCTTATATATATATAGATAAATAACAGATGCAACTCAAACTTCGCACCAAAATGGAAAACAGTTGTGGCAATCTAACAACAACAAAAAAACAAAAATTTGAATTTGGAACCAAAAACAAATCATCCATTCCTGATATTTTTTGACTGAATGTATGATAATGGATGAAGGGAAAGAAGAGAGATGAGATACATACCTTAAACCACAATATAGTTATAAAATTTTACTATTTCTGAATTCTTTCTAAGGATTTTTGGAGAGCAAATACCAACAAACAATGATACCAGACAGCTTGTGTATATTAATATACAAAAAAAACATGGTTTGTGTAAAAAAGCTGACCTAGCATGTGTTCAACTGGAGACACCTGAATAGAGGATGCTTTCCTAATCATGATTCTCAAACAGTACTAAAAATTTTGATTCTGATAAAAGGAGGGATTAATTTTATTAATATTACACTATAAGCCAATCCTACAGGATGGCCAGCTAATCAAACAAATAAGTTAAATTCATCATCATCAAAGTTATCATTATAATATCTCTAAGCTAAAATTAAAAATAATTAATTTTGGTTCCATTAGTAAGTTCCATTAGTAGACACTGCTCTTTTCTTAATAGCTGCACTGTGATGTTATACAGACTCTTAATTTCCTCAGTAAATACTCTATCTATTTCAAAAATATCCTTAAACCTGAATGACAGATTAGCATGTTTTATTATTTCATTATTCCATGCATTATTTCAGTTATATATTTATGTTGATTATCATTTTGGGCATAGCATTCTGACCAATTGAAGTAACAACATAGTCCCTGAGTCTCACTTACAGTAAATAGTTGTGCCTGACCTGTGTCTATTGACATTTACAACTCTATGTACTTGTTTGCTTCTTAGTGGTATAAAAACAAAGGAAATGTAATATTGATTTTAGCCTTATAAGGGTTAAAGTTTAAGCTCTCACTAATACCTTGAATACTAATTTTATGAAGCTTTTATGTCACAACAAATAAACAATAACATATGCTCGTTAAAAAAAAATTACACCACAAATATTTTCCTTCATTAGTACTGTAAAGCAATTGAAAGAGCAGGACGCTTTTAATAACTTAGCGAAAATTCTTTAAAACTTACCAATAACATCTGCGCTGTTTGAATTGGTGGAGAACCATGCGTCGTCACCGAATTGTCCTTTACGCGTTCTTCCATTAGCAATGTCTTTTGGAAAACCACATACTACTGAAACTAGATAAGGTTGATTTGTTTTCGAAACATTTAACTCTGCCGCACTGGAGAAACTCGAAAGTCCATTTCGTAAAGCACGTGATAGCAGTCTCCCTGTCCAAAAAATAGACTGCATCATTCATTTAATACCAATGTACTTTGACACCAGCCTTTCACAAGAATTCAAACGATACTTGTGATACCATTTTGAACAAACTATAGCACACAGTAATCACATGAAGCTAATACATCAATTATAAATGAATAGTAGTAGCGACGAATTTTCGATTCTTATACATTTGTCTCGTGACCACTGAAGCGCACATTAACCACACAGGGAACATCGAACAAGTGGCCATAGATTACTAAAATATGGACTGTCAAAATTAGACAGAATGTAAGGAATGACAAAATCCATTCATAGAGTTAGACTTCGATCTTTTTCCTTTTAACTTTTTATTAGTGACTGATACCAGGTCTATTTGTCTTGTGCTTAAAGTAAAAAAAAAAAAAAACAAATTATTACACATCAGGTCACCATGATTAAAGTCTTCACCAGTCAACAAACATCTATTAGAACACGAACACATAATTAAATAACAACTTAAGTGTTAAAGAACATTCTGTATGGACACGAGAAGTCTCAGAAAACCGGTTTGCAAACAACATACGCTGTTAACGTGTTCGGTGAGAGAACAACACGATTTAAATAAATGCATAAAAGAAAAAAATATCAAACATAATTTGAAGGGATTCTTCCTCGTCTTTCAAGTTCACTAATGATACATGTATTTTGTACTTCTTACAACTTCGCTAGATGTAGCATCTGTTGCATTTATACAAACCTCAGTGGTTTTCAAATGCACTGTAACTAATAATGGTAAATGACTTTGTAAAATAGTAAATAAATAAATTAATAAGTAAAATTCAGCAAAAGTTACAATTCGACAAAAAAAAGGAAACTTTTTTGTAGGTTTTAAATATAAAGTTGTTGAAGATGATGTTGGAGATTTGTATAAAAATTTTGGCTACTTTTTATTTTGGCTGATCAAAGTACTGGCTCAAATCATCCATACTATTTTGGCATTTTGTTTATCCCTTTAGGTACTACAGAAGTCTGCTTGCTGGGAGGAAATGAAATCAGCGAAAGGGCTTGTATTGCCTCTCGGTGTTGAATTCGTTAAAATTATTCCCACTTTAAAAAATGTTTAAATTTCGATAAAAATAGAAATCTGTTGAGGCAAGATCCGGTGACGGAGATCTTCATGCTCAGTTACATATTTGCTGCCAGTAGACCCCTCGAGCCGTCACCCTGCCGGGATTTGTGGCGGGGCGGTGTTTCGGAATTGAACCGACTAAAACTCCCACTGCCACGTGCCACGCTGTATCTGAAATAGAGGGATCTTTTTTAAGTATAAGAAACCCCATCGAATTGTCACGTTCGTTATGATATTCTACTTATCACGGATGTGTAAGAAGCCGCCCGCTGCACTTCTGGGCGGGCAGTGGCAGTCGGACCTCACCCGAGGAGGATGGATCGTTGGTTGTCTCAGTCGGTTATCATTGAGTGGGCAGGACGGCAGCATGGAACACTTTTCTTCTGACTGACGCAGGTCCTTTCGGGCACGGCTGCTTCGGGAAGTACCTGCACTCGGTCGCTAGGAGATATTTGAGTCCCGCCTGTCACCACTGCGATTGTAACGAGGACTCGGTACACGCTGCCAATTTGCCCGACTTGGGTAGCACAGAGTCCTTATTACAATCATCGGATGGTATCTCTTGCTACCGGTCGTCATACGCTCAGTAAGCATGCACATACTTACACTATAAACAATCCCGTAATTCTAAATATACAGATGTAAGTTGATTAAGGTTGACATTTAGGATTTATGTTAAGTAATTACCACTACTCCTTTGCTTTCATTTTCTAATACCTATGAATATCGAGACTAGTGCGTGTACACAAAAATTCAGTCGCTACAACTGCAGCTGTAGTTAAGATCACTCTATAACTTGTAATAATAAATCAGGGTTGTCCAGTCAATGGCATTATACGATACAACGGTGTGAGCTGCCTTTGAGGGAACCCTTACTCTGGGCGATCCGCCGATGTAAAGGCCGGAAAGTATGGCTAAAGACCGCTAACCGAGCCACGATAACTCGTTGGTCGTCCCGGCTGGAGCCTCCACGTACTGGCTTTGGCGTCGTGGATACGGTCAAGCCGTTCATTGTCTAGGTGGCAGGGTGCCTTTCCTTCCGACTGACGCAGGTCTTTGTTGGACTCGTAATACATAAAAATAACAAAGCTTTCAAATAAAATTTATTTGAATTTCGAATTGCGCTCCAATTAACAGATAATTTAAATTAAATTCATAGGTAAATAGGTTTAGTAAAAAACCTATTACATTACATTGAAATGATCATGTATTCATTTTTGTAATTTTTAATTTTATTATAATTACCTAAAATCAAACAAAACACAAAAATCAAAGTAATTGGCTATAATAATAATAAAACAAAAACCAGCTCATTCAAAATTATCATGCCGTTACAAGATTTTAAAAACGAAAAGTACGTATTTAAAACCGACATGTTTGGTCTTGAAAAACATTTTTAAGTTCGTATTTTTCCCAATTTGAATGCAAATATGTTACCCTTTAGTATAACTCCATTCGGTCGGATACAAGCCTCTGCCGGTGTAAACCTGAATTCCACTGTATTTTTTTAAATTTGTATATGTTTTTCATCTTAACAAAATTAATAGTAGCTCTAAATTAATAGAATTGGAATAAAAAATTAGCTGACCAAGTGTTGGTGGAAAAAGCAATAAAATTAAAAAGAACGAAAGCACCACCAAAACAGTCATCACAGCAACTTAAATTAGTAATTTTAAAAATAAATAGATATAATCTTTAAATTTTGCTATGGACTTCATAACTTCGAACTTCTAATTAGAGTTGTGCAATCTGTACTAGAGATGACACAGTCTGTTTCTTTTCAATTCGTGTATGATATTGATCCATAAACAATACCTAAGTTACGTCTGATGTTCTAAACGCATCTATGGAAAAGGAAGGCGTTGTAGAAGTAGCAGAAGAAAATCTCATCTTTCTGAATTATAGTAATGACGGCCGCTAATTGATTAAAAGTAATTCAACGCCACTTCAAAAGTATCTCATAAAAATTTATATATCGGCATCTTTGTTTCTTTTGAAGTGTAAAGAAAAGGCATAAAACTGGTGTTCGATAAATCACTTGGCAATATGCCTGCCGTCAGGGGAGATGGAATGCGAGGACTTGCAGTCTTCATATCAGACATAAGAAACTGTAAAAGTAAAGAAGCGGAAATAAAGAGGATTAATAAGGAACTGGCGAATATAAGAAGCAAGTTTAAAGGCGATAAAACACTTGATGGCTACCAGAAAAAAAAATATGTATGTAAACTTCTATTTATCTTTTTATTGGGTCATGATATCGACTTTGGTCATATGGAAGCAGTCAACTTACTTTCATCTAACAAGTATTCTGAAAAACAGATAGGTTATCTATTCATATCAGTGCTGGTCAATACTAATAGTGATCTAATTAAACTTATCATCCAAAGCATTAAAAATGACCTGCAATCGCGTAATCCTATACATGTCAACTTGGCTCTGCAATGCATTGCAAATATTGGCAGTAAAGATATGGCAGAAGCATTTGGAACAGAAATTCCTAAGCTACTTGTGTCTGGTGATACTATGGACGTAGTCAAGCAATCTGCTGCCCTTTGTCTCCTCCGTCTTTTTCGGAAGTCACCAGAAATTATTCCTACAGGTGAATGGACTTCTCGTATCATACATCTCTTGAATGATCCCCATATGGGTGTTGTGACTGCAGCTACATCTCTAATTGATGCACTTGTTAAAAAAAATCCAGATGAGTATAAAGGTTGTGTAACCTTAGCTGTTGCAAGACTTAGTAGGATTGTGACAGCAAGTTACACAGATTTACAAGATTATACTTACTATTTTGTACCAGCCCCTTGGCTCTCTGTCAAATTGCTGAGACTGCTGCAGAATTACACTCCACCCTCTGAAGAGCCTGGTGTAAGGGGCCGTCTATCAGAATGTTTGGAAACAATTTTTAATAAGGCTCAGGAACCACCAAAATCCAAGAAGGTACAACATTCTAATGCTAAGAATGCAGTGTTGTTTGAGGCCATAAGCTTGATCATACACAATGATAGTGAACCTAACTTGTTGGTGAGAGCCTGTAACCAGCTTGGCCAGTTTCTTAGCAATCGTGAAACTAATCTCCGTTATTTAGCTCTTGAGTCAATGTGTCATCTTGCTACTTCAGAATTTTCTCATGAGGCTGTTAAAAAACATCAAGAAGTTGTTATTCTTTCTATGAAAATGGAAAAAGATGTATCAGTTCGACAGCAGGCTGTTGACTTGCTCTATGCCATGTGTGATAAAACTAATGCTGAAGAAATTGTTCAAGAAATGTTGGCTTACTTAGAAACAGCTGATTACTCTATCAGAGAAGAAATGGTCTTAAAAGTAGCTATATTGGCTGAAAGGTATGCAACAGATTTTACCTGGTATGTGGATGTCATTCTGAATCTTATTAGAATCGCTGGAGATTATGTGTCAGAGGAAGTTTGGTACAGAGTAATACAAATTGTTATCAATAGAGAAGAAGTTCAAGGTTATGCAGCAAAAACTGTCTTTGAGGCTCTACAGGCTCCAACCTGTCATGAAAATATGGTTAAAGTTGGTGGATACATCCTGGGAGAGTTTGGCAACTTGATAGCAGGAGATACAAGATCTTCACCACAGGTTCAATTTGAATTACTTCATTCAAAATACCATTTATGCTCAGCAGCTACCCGGGCACTCTTGTTATCAACATACATTAAACTTGTTAACCTGTTCCCAGAAATAAAAAATCGTGTGCAGGAAGTTTTCCGTGCTGACTCAAACCTTCGGTCTTCTGATGTAGAGTTACAGCAAAGGGCCTCTGAATATCTACAATTAAGTATTGTTGCGAGTTCTGATGTGTTGGCTACGGTTTTGGAAGAAATGCCTGCATTCCCTGAACGAGAGTCCTCTATCCTGGCTGTGTTAAAAAAGAAAAAGCCTGGTCGAATCCCAGATGACGTTAGAGAGTCAAAAAGTCCACAACCTACAGCCATACCAGCACCAGTAATTAATACCACAAATAATAATACAAATAGCTCAAGTGCAGATTTACTTGGATTGTCTACACCCCCTGGAACCACGGCACCACCCACAGGCAATGGGCTACTTGATGTACTTGGAGATCTGTATACAGCCCCGAAAGTAAGTCCTAGCACAGTACAACAAAATAATATTAAAAAGTTCTTATTTAAAAATAATGGTGTTCTCTTTGAAAATGACTTAATTCAAATAGGCGTAAAAAGTGAATTCAGGCAGAACTTGGGTAGAATTGGTTTATTCTATGGGAACAAGACACAATTCCCTATTCAGAATGTTCGCCCTGAATTACACTGGACAGATTTACATAAATTAAATGTTCAAATGAAACCAATGGAGCCAATATTAGAAGCAGGTGCTCAGATTCAGCAAATGCTAACTGCTGAATGCATTGAAGATTATACTGATGTTCCAAGTATGTCAGTTTCATTTGTGTATAATAATGTACCTCAAAAAATTACAATGAAACTGCCATTAACTTTGAATAAATTTTTTGAACCCACTGAAATGAATGGTGAGTCATTCTTTGCAAGATGGAAAAATTTAGGAGGTGAACAACAAAGAGCACAAAAAATCTTTAAAGCGCAAGGTTCTATTGATTTACCTGCTACTCATACCAAATTAGCTGGATTTGGAATGCAATTGCTTGATGGTATTGATCCCAATCCTGATAACTTTGTTTGTGCTGGTATTGTGCACACTAGAATCCAGCAAGTAGGATGTCTTATGAGATTGGAACCAAATAAACAAGCTCAAATGTATAGACTGACAGTAAGATCAAGCAAGGAAACAGTCTCTCATGAAATTTGTAATCTGCTAGCAGATCAATTTTAACTTATTAGGTTAAAAAGAACCAGAATGTTTGAACAAAATTGTTCAAAATTGAAAAAAACAGTGTTAAAGTTGCTTAGAAGTTCACAATCACTTTGTAGAAAAGATAAAATAATGCGTACAATTTGGAGAATATAATTATAAAGCAAAACACTTGTGAACTTTGCACTGAATATTGTATGAAATGAAATCTCGTATGTACAACTTTTGGTTTACTTTATTGCTAATATAGAGTTAGGTATTTTGTAAACAGAGAATTTATTTTAATTTACTTATACATTTAATGGGACTTGTAAGACAACACTTTAAAAGACAAATAATTTCCTGAATGTTTTTATGATGTAACTAATTCTATCATCTATTGTGTTTCAATTTATGTACATCCTTTTTTAATACCTAATTTGATATTAGTAGTATATTCTTAATTCATATTTCTGCTCATTTGTAAACAGATCATGATCCCATGTTATTATTACAATGCTTGATCACGAAATGTCTATAAATTGTTGTAAATGGTATAACATATACCCAATAATGCTTTATTTGTATATATAGGGATTAAATGAGATTCATCTATGTCAGCATATATTAGTGTGCATGCATACCATGGTGGTAGATTTTATTGGCGAATAATGGTGGTTCCCAAAAGTCACAGAAATACTGTTGTTTCGCATATTTATAGCTATATTCAAATGTATTTATGGTAAAATGTAGAAAATTATTATTCATACCAAAGTAAATATTTGGCTGTTAATGTCATCATATATCAAAATTTGTATTCATTGTAAATGATATTGTGCTTTACAGTAATTTCCATATTTATTAAAATACTAATGTTCATAAAAATGAGATTACTTTCATACTGTTAAGTATAATGTTCTTTTTATCTGAATGTTAGTTTTTATGTAATGTTAGTATCAAATAATAGCCCCGTTATTTTGCAGTCTTTTGGACTTATTATAAGCAGGCTAGTATAAATATTTATTTTATATTCAGTTTTGTAATGTTCCTGTTAAATCCTAGTAAATTATACATTAACTTCTAAAATAATTCTCATCTCAACTGAAAGCTGATATACAGTATTATAGATTTGTGTTTAGTTTATTTAAAATTCGAAAAACCTTGAAAATGTATTTTGATGCTTTAATGTGAGTAGCTACAGTAAATTATACTGAGAAAAGTATTAATAAACATCTATGTGTATAATTTTAGGACCTCCAAAGGGAATGTCACCTTTGTAGTTAGCATTACAACTATAATTTACAGAACTTTCTAAATTATGGTTGTAGAAATGCTTAACTATAAAACAAAAAATTGGTGTTCTAACAATTAAAAATACCTTCATAAACATTCCTATATGATAGGCCTATTTTTAATAGTTTTATAAAAGTAATTATTCCAATTCCTTTTACTTTTATATTAATAAATGACCTCATATTGCATCAGTATATATATTTTTAACTAAGTTCCAATGACTAAACAGTGTCAACCATCTATTGACTGTTGGAATGTAAAACTTGTTAGTATATCAGCTTCACACTCATGACACATTATATTTGTTTGTTAGAGATTAATTAAGATGTGTTGGTGTGTCAATAGGAGGAATCTCACAAACCTAGAAAAAATATTTTCGTATGTACCACATTGTAGAATTTTAGTATTATGGACATAAAATGTTGTTATAAATTTATTGGTAGCAAGCATGCTAAAGTTTTGTTGCATGGTAGTTTTGTTAAGAGAACATTAATAATAAATTAATATATCATTATAAACGTTTCTATTATATCTTGTTAAGATTGTGGTACCTATAACATGTATGTATATTATGAAATTTAAAAGAAAATATATGCTTATTTCATACATGTGTATAGTATATATGTGCATATTCATATATATGCGTGTTTATCAAAATATTGTAAAATATGAAGTGGGTGGTGAGTCTGTACCAGATATAGATGTTTGTTCTTGTGCTTCAAACCCATTACTGTAACTCTTAAATAAAATATTTATCCAATACTTATTATATGCATTTTATTTTCATGAAATGTTATAGCTACATTGAAAAACTAAATATGCGTAGGATAAACAGAAATTAAAAATACACTTAACTAGCTTCCAATACTACACACACTAATCGAACCATTCTTCCACATTCGGAGAGTTTTCCAATACGTCATTGGACTCACTGAAACAAATAAAAACACAAATTAATCAAATTGACATTCAATAAATTATAGTTTAAAAAAAAAACACTTTTGTAGCTAGTCAAACTAAAAAGTAGGAAATAATTTCTATAAGTTCAAAAAGAAAAATCATTTGTGGTGCTAAATCACGATTATTGTAAAAATATTTTACTGACAGAATTGGTAAAAGTGACGTTATTAATAAGTCTATGAAGTTGGAGATATTTAACCTTTTAACCACCCAGCTTTATACCAATTGGCGTTAACCTTTTTTTTTCCTGTGCGGAAATCCCCTCGGATACCACCTATCGGTAATTGGCGTGCCCCTAGCGCCCAGCTCACAAATCAAAAAATAAATACCTAGACGAAGAGGGCTGTGCAGTTGTGTATTACGATAATATCGACGAATACCTTATGTTGCTATTTGTACTTTGTTATTATTATAAATGAATCATAAGCAACAGTTTATTATTAAACACAATTTCTACGAATTTGATTTGATTGACGAACCTTCACGTACCAAATTTTATAAGCCACTCAAGAATCAATTAAAAAGAATAGAGTTTGTTTTTTTTGTGGTCGTAGCCCGGCGTTCACCTCTGCGAAAGTACATCAGCCAAGTAGACTATATACGTTATGACAAAAATTTACATCATTAATCACATTTATTTCGTTATTGTTAATATTTTTTATCAGGTATAATAAATCTAATAAAATAAATAACCAAGTAATCAATCAATAATAAATCTAACAAAATATTTCAGGGTAGAAACAGAGCATAAAATTAAAACGTTAAAAACTTATTTACAAAAACACTCATATTACTAATGGAAAATGCCATTAGGTTTGCCTCGGTTTTCACAGGCGGTGTTTATCCGACTCGGGCGCTGGCTATACTGGCGTAAAATGATTTAGATAACATGATCGTAGGGATGGGAATTTGCATCTATAGCTTAGGCGGTTAAAAGGTTAAAACTTGCATTTCGGATTTAATTTTATCTGTTGATTCGCTAATCTAAAATTCAAATAAATTTTCTTCGAATGCCATGTTATTTTAATTTAAAAGTATCATTTCTTTTAGAAAGTGTTTTGTTTTTGTAAAATTGTAGGCGTACGTTGCCCCAGCGGAAAAAGTTATTCGTCGTCCCGTAAGATATTCGTTGATATTATCGTAATGCACAACTTCACAACCCTCTTTGTCGTAGGTATTTATTTTATGATTTGTGAGCTGGGCCCTGGGGGCACGCCAATTGGTATAAATATGAAGTTTTTCGTTGCGATCGAAACCTTTTAGCAATAGTTAAAAGAACCGGTGGGGCCGTCATGATGTGTATCAAACGCGATCTTTCAGCTACTGCATCTCCTAATTTTGCATGTGGCCGGTCAGAGCTTCTGTGCGTCACTCTGCCGGCATTTACAATTCCTATTAATCTAAATGTAATTTTATCGTATATCTCCCCCGATACTGATATAACGTCTTGTATTGAAAATACGTAATAATAAAATCATTTGTCATAAAACTGCATATCTGACAGAACTTTACTCTACCCCGTGATATCACTCTGAATACCTCACACAACTTGCCGTGGAACTCTTTGTAACTCGTGGCTTAAGTTTATTGTAAATGCAACTAGCTAAGGCTGACTGCATAATAAATGAAAATTGTAACCTACCAAAAAGCTATAGTTTCCTTAAAACAAAATAAATAAATAAAGCTGGGTGGTTAAAAGGTTAAATATCTCCAACTTCATAGGTCCTATTAAAGAAAGACCTATTAATAACTTCAGATTTAATTATCTGTGGATTCTCTAATCTAAAATTCAAATTTTTTTTTTTCGAAAGCTATGTTATTTTAATTTAAAATTCAGTCATTTCTTTTAGATAGTGTTTTGCTTTTGTAAAATTTTAGGCGTGCGTTACCGCAGCGGAAAAGTTCGAATATCATTATTTAAGTTTAACAGATATTTAGTGTATGATGTCGTGTAATTATAGTATATGGTAAGTAAAAGTTTGTGCATACAACCACTGTGGAGTTATTCACGTAAAACTGTTTCCGCTGGGATAACGTTGTCCCAGCAGCACTTTTTTATCCTATGCATACAAGAAAAAAAAATGGTGCCAAAAATTAGTGTATGGCGTGAGATAACTGGTGTATGAAAGTGATAAAGTAGGACTGTCCATGAATACGGCAAAAACCAAAACAATGTCAAACTCGGAAAGCATCCTTATAAGTGTTAACGGAAAAACCATACAATGTATGAAGGAATACACGTACCTCGGACAGATCATATCTCCATAGACCTAACCACGAAATAAATTAACAACAGATAAACTTTGGCATGGAAAAGACACTGGTCTCTCAAGGAGGTAATGAAAAACCCACTTGTACCACTGAGAGCGAAGAGCAAAATATTTAATTTGTGTATTCTGCTTGTCATGACATATGGATGCCCAACCTGGAGCTTAACTAATCATAACATACATAAATTAGAAACTTGCCAACATAGTATGGAACGAAGCATACTTAACACCAAATTAAAAGAAAGAAAACTAGAATCACAGATGTTACATATTGTATTAAAAAGCTAAAATGGAGGTGGGCAGCACATATGATTAAGAATTATAAGGATAAATGCCCGAGACAATACAAAAGAAGGAAAGGGAGAGAGCGTCGTAGATGGGAAGACGAGGTTAAAATAATAGCGGGACATACTTGGGAGAGACAAGCATAGAATCGCATTCGATGGCGAACTCTAGGGGAGGCCAATGTTTGCACCAGGGACTTCCTTTCTAGGGTATACCTGGTTCCCCGGCTATTAGTACCCGAGACGGCGTGCGGTTTTAGTCGGTTCGAGTCCGACATGCCACCGACAGGTGGTATCCGAGGGGATTTCCGCACGGAAAAAAAGGGGAGGCCTATGCTAGACAGCAAGACAATCTTCACCTACCGGTGTCAAACAATTAAATAAGATTTTTGTAACTATATTGTGTAATAGTCAACCTTTGGGTGGTGTAGAAATCATATATGGTAGCACAGAGGTTTCATATTTTGACATATAATCTATGAAAATATACACGGTTCACTACATACATATACCTACGTATACATACACGACACATCACATCATAAACATACATATATAAATATCTTTATAAATATACATATTATATTCGTACACTATGTATACCGGAATATAAGGTGTACTATGGACTGGGTAGTTCTGTCATTTTATTATCAAGGAGATCATGTACCTTTTTTTTTAATACGGTTAGTGGACATCCTGATTTCGAGCGGTAGCGCATTCCAGAGCAGTACTGCTTGATCAGAGAACGAAGAGTTTACGAAGTCGGTGTTGTGACAGATTAGAGGACAGGTAACGGAGGTAGGGAGTGAGGTAAGTAGGTGAGGTTTAAAAGTAAGAATAGGGAAGTAGCAGCGCAAGCGAATAGGTAACCAGTTTATTAGAAACGCAAAGCAGACACATGGTCATACTTCCGAAGATTGAAAATGTATCGAATTATGAGATTAATAAATATTGAGAATAAAAGAGGAGATAAAATGCCGCCTTGTAGGACGCCAGCGCGTAGAGGTCGCAGCAACTTGATGAACTTGAACTTGATAGGTGGAGAACCATTCCAGTGTCTCAAAAGAACCCATAAGATATGTAAGGATAGATAACAGGATTTCGCGAATGACGATAGTTGACTGCTCTAATGCCTTTAGCATTAGAGCAGTCAACTAATACCAATACTGTAACTTTGGTGTTTTCTATGCCCTTTCTAATATCACCAGTCACTTTAAGGAGAGCGGTAACTGTGCTGTGACCAGGCCTGAAGCCAGATTGAAGCGGGCTTTTAAGTTGGTTACTGTATGTTGAGTACTTTAGATAGAAAGGGAAGTATAGAAATAGGTAGAAAGTGTTCAGGAAATGAAGGGTTCCTTTTTTTTGATAGAGGAATAACATAATCCTTGCGCCACAAAGAGGGGAAGGTATCAGAGAAGTTGATTATGTGAGTAATTACTGAGAGAATACAATCTAGGATGGTGAAAATCATTCGACGGCTACTGCCATCACCCCACAGCATTAGAACGGGTAGATATCTTCTTGATATCCTCAGACACCGGAGAAAATTCAAACGAGTCAGTAGTGGGACTGCTAAGACCAGATATGTAGTTTAGCGTTTGACACTTAGTTTGAAGATGCAGCGTAGTTGTGGATGAGAAGTGACGGTTGATATAATTGAAACCAATTTTATTGTTAAACACAGGGTGATGTTGTTTACCAATGCCTAGAGCACCAAGAAATTTCCCGATACGGGTGAAGAAGAAGACTATGTTTTGAAGAATATGTCGGCATTTAGCCTTGCGTGTCATCTGGTTGCGTCGATTTCTATGGGCCTTATAAAGGTTCCATTGGTCTTTACAGCGATCTTTCTTATAATTTTTTATTTTATTTAGAAGATAAAATAATCCTCAACATTTATCAAAATCATCGAAATCGACTTTTGCTATTTCTCTATCTACTATCTCTGCTATTTCGTTGTTCTATTTGAAAGTAGTTTTTTTTAATCGCTAGAAAAGAGTATAGATAACACATTCACGAAGACCAAAATCGATCTAAGTGGCGTGCAATGGGAGAGGCCTATGTCCAGTAGTGGAATGCGATAGGCTGATGAAATACATTCACTATTCTTTACTAATTCGGACCATAAAACTAGAGTGCATTAAATTAGACAATACGCGCGCAAAACATAACATAATATAGATGTGAAATAGATAATAATATATTCTATCACATTCACACAACGCCATCCAGTCCCAAACTAAGCAGAGCTTGTACTATGGGTACTAGACAACTGATATAAATACATATATACTTTTTTTCTTTTAAATACATACTTATTATACATAGAAACACCCAGACCAAATCAAACATTAAATGTTCATGCACACAAATGTTTGACTTGAGCGGGAATTGAACCCACGACGTTTGCAATAGCA